AGGTAGTGTGGGACTTACTCTTCAGTCTGTGAGAGAACGACTGAAGAGCAGAGGCCTGCAGAGTCCTCCTTATATACTACTGGGGAGGACGGATGAGTAAGCGTATAAGAAGAGAGCATGTGACGTCCAGAGGACGCTGACTGAGCGATGAGTAACGCTGAGTAAGGGAGCATAATCGACATAAGGTCAGATAGTCCATGGCTGAGTAATGCGAGTAATCCGGACGCTGTCTAGAATAGTCCGGAACATCGTAGAACGTACCAGAATCATGTGGAGGGATGGCAGGATGCCAAGTAAGTACAGAACAAAAGAATGTACGTATATGGTAAGTAGGAAAGTCCATGCTGGCGTATGGTAGACGCACAGCCACTATCACTGCCACTCCCGGTCCGGCACAGCCGTAGACACAGAAGTTCAACACGTTCATAGGCAACAGCCGGTACGGTTTGCACCACACGCCGTGTGGCAAGTGTTGTGCGAGGCTTTACCGATCTCTTCATTGCCACATTCGAAGATCGAGCGTCGAGAGATTGAGTGTCTGAAGACCGAGGGGGAGGAGCAGGGATCTTGAAATGGAAGGTGGGCTGGAGGTTATCGCTACTGCCTTCCCCGGCCTGTAAGGGAGGCTTCGTTAACCGCAGCAATCGCTCAATTCTAGGACCACTGACCTGCATGTTGTTCGGATTCGAAACGCCTTCCTGGTCCGGTGTATTCCAATCATAAACAACGGGTATGGCCTGGGGCAGGGAAAACGTGAAGTCGAAGTGATCGTCCTCCATGGTGGCTAAGATAGCGACAAGAGAGGATGAGGGTAGGAGAAACGAAACGCTGTCAGGGCTGCTCAGCCATATATGCCGACCCCTACCAGTTTAGCCACACAAAACGTGGCACACGAACAATACGATCAGCATTGCCGCATGGCGCTAATCTATGACTAAACCTTCGCATAGAATGATACAACAAACACAAACGATTGTTTACGAGCGGGCCTCGCCCGAAAACGTGTCAACGAGCCACTGAACAAACGTCGACCATCGCCTGTCAAAGAGAGCCAGCGCTGCGCTTTGTTCTTCTGGCGCCAAGCAAGCATACTGCGCAAGTTGCGAGTTGAGCTCTTCAGAACGTCGACTACGAGGCTGGCGACAACATACCTTCAGGCTATCCCGCGCGAGTGCCTTCACGGTGAGCAACCCGGTCACCTCGCTTACAATGAGGACCTGGAAGAAGTCGAAGGAGAGGCCCATGTTGCCGAACGCAGCGGGGTCATCGGAGTTCAGGGTGATGGGCACGCCCTGGTTCATGAGTATTGGGAGCGGGTGCATCGGCATGGAACCTGTGAGTCGCTGCGAACAAGGTGTCGGTGTGCATCCACTAAACACCAACGCGTAGATAGCACCTACCAAGATTTCGTTCCTAGAGCAGGAGAGTCATTAGCGCAGTATGTGTGAATAGCGATATCGAGCGAGGACTTACGATATCGGACACATTTCGACCGCGATGTTTCTCTCCCGGCACAGCTCCATCAGCTTCGGATGTTTCGCGAGGGAGAAACTGTACATGACATACTCAGATCCATTCACATTGAGAATGAATAGATGCATACCCGTGGCCGATGCGCTTCGTCCCAAGAAGGATAGCGTCGTACAGGTTCATGTCTGCCGCGGTCCCATCGCCCAGAGTCTCTCCCGCGTGGAGGATGAAAGGGATGTCGAGGCCCAGCTCTTTCTGCCGCGCGACGAAGCGTTGGAAGGGGACTATGAAGTTGATGAGCGGCGGCAGCGGGTCTTCAGGGCCTACGAGGTCGAAACCTGGATGCCGTTACATCAGTCCCATGTGCTACAGCGCAGGAGCGGACGCGCTATACCGCAGATGAGATGAGGGAACTCCTGCTTGAGCGCGATGCAGTCCTCTAGATACCACTCCAGCCCCTCGCAAGTGAGGTCTTTCTTCACCGCGCTATATATGATCTGCGGCCTACTTCAGCATGTACGGGCGAGGGGGGGGGGCAGAATTTTTTTGGACCTTGGACCCAACGAACTCATCGCTCCTGCCCTGCGCTGCAAGGTCTCGCTTCACCCCTGCGATAACCTCGTCGTAGATGAGGAGCCATTCACGATGCGGCACGTTCTCTTGCCCATCCGCACCGATCATGTATCTGCGGGTAAACGGTGAGCTAAAACTAGGACGGCGGAGGCATACAGCACACATACTTGTACCAGAACGGGATGCGTGTCTCGATATACGAGATGCCGTCCTCGATAGACGACAGGAAGAATTCCCGGACGTACTCCACAAAGATCGGCATGTACCGTACAAGGCCCTTTGGAACGCGGAAGGGTCAGTCGCTTGGGCACATAATGCTGGGTCGTTCGACTTACCCGCGCTACAGCAAAGGTCGATAGGAATTTCTCCCAGATCTAGTACACATATATCATGAGAGCGATGTTGGACACGTATACGTGATAATGAGCGAACCTTTGCAGTTGTGTTGTGCGTATGATACGCCTCTGTAGGGTTGATAGTGAGGGCGCGCACCGCCCATTCGTCAAACCCTGCCGTTCCACCTAGGTCGGATTCGAAGGCACTCCTTGCGTTTAGCAAGGGCACCCACTGCCCTGGCTCGTACACGCTATCCGTCAGGCTTCCAAGACTAGTCCACTCGTCCTGGGGCAAAGGCCGGAACTCGGGAAGTACGGTGTAGATAGTCTCCCCGGTGAGCCGTATGCTAGTGCGGACGTGGATCGCGGGGTGCTTGAGTGCGATGTTGAGGAGAACACGCGCGTTTACGGTCGCGTCCAAATGGGAATGGAGGAGTGCGCCCTTCGGCATCTGGTGGGAAGCATCAATTAGGTGTTGAAGCGATGAGCACGGCTTCAAATTACCTTGGATACAGCTTGGAAGAGCTTCGTCTTCAAGATCGTCTCGCGCGCTATCAGCCATGTGAGCATGCATAACTGCTGAAGAGGATCCGCCCCGACACTGACCTGTAAGGAACTCCATCCCTGGAAAGACATGCGCCGCTCCTGGGATCTCAGGAGCCGCCCGGTCCCATACCGTCTCATGTTCCTCTGTCCTAATCCGACGCAAGATCTCGTCCGCCTGGTTTTCTGTATGGCTCGCAGCCCCGAAGGCATTGGCGTCGACCCGTAGGGATCTGTCCTTGACGATGAGACGCTCGCGCTCGCGGACATATTCCTCCATTATGTTTGGTCACCCTGTTTACCGCGATCGGTGTGGGGGATATATACTGGGAGGCAGATGTGCGCTATGAGCGCTGAGTGCCCGAGTCATACCGGTATCAGCAGGGGACCTCTCCACGATAGCGTGAGAAGCATTGCATTACCAATAACCTTAGGCCCACACCGCAAGTATATCAGTACATACTCTCATCGATGAACGCGCTATTTCGCACACGTACCTCATTGTGCTCCACGTAAACTAGCGAGCGTTCCAACGCGCCCTCACTCAGACCCGGCCACGGTAGCAGCCTAGGAGCCGGCGAATCGATCGAGTATCTAGAGCGAACAGACCCCGAGATTGCGACACTAGAGACGTTGTTCAAAAAGGGATACTGTGGCGATATGCGTGGCGATATTCATGCATCATCCATAGCTTGCATGGATGCCCAGTAGCCTTGTCGAACGAAGCAGTCAAGAGTGAGTGGGTTCTCGGCCCTCCTTGGGGTTATACGATGCCTGCTTGCTTGCGGGATTGTCTCGCAGGTATAAGCCAGAGGATTTCCGGGAGCGACGGGTACAGGACGCCTAGAGAGCTTCAGTCTGCGGTGGGTTGGTCAGAGGTGGTTGAATGTGTATTGGATGTTTAAGTACTACTCGTGATCTGGTGTATCGTGCGTCTCGGATGTAGTCTGATGCTTAGTCATGCCTGGTAGTTAGGCGCGTTCGAGATAGGAGGATGTACGGTTGCACTCGGTCGAATCTAACACTCACTCACTCACTCACTCACTCGGCCACCCAGATTCATCAGGAGCGCCTATTGCGCTGGCCAATCGCGAGCCCGAATGAGCACCGCCATCGCGCGCCCGCCGCGGTAGGCCCCTCAGGGTCTGCTCTTTTCCCCCCTTCTTCGTCTTCTCATCCACTCGCAACTCTACGCTCTCTACGCGACCCGAACTAGGCTACCTCAAGAAGGCAGGCGCACACGAACTCCGGTAATATATATGTATCTCCTCGCATGTGGAACTTCTAGTTGGTTCCGCGCTGGCGCGGATGACCGCTGAGCGTTGAATTCGAGATTTGTCCCGTTTATTCCATTCGCCTATCATGGCGCGGCCGTGCAGGAGATGGAAGATGTAAGTGGAATGATATATACTGAACGGAAGCGCATGCCCTCGTGTATGCATCGTGCAACTGTGCACGAGGCCAGTCTGCCAGCCGGATCGACCAGAACCGTCTACTCTGGCGGGCGACTCTTAACTTGCATCCTCGAACCCCTCCTTCGCCGTCGCCGGCATACGTGACTACGCTGTGTCACCCGGTAGTGGCTCGAGCTCTTCTCCCGTTGCATCACCTCAGCTGCCCCAGCCAATCGCATCGCCAGTAATGGCCCCCTCCGACTCTGAGTCCGACTCGTACGACCCCAAGTTCTACACCGACCGACCGATCGAAGACCAGCTCGAAACAGGCCTAGTACACACGGACGAATGTAATGCGGCTCGTGCTGAGGTTGGCGCTCTTCTGAGTCCTATTCTTCATGGCTTATGCTAAACATTGCCCTTCTATGATCAAGGTCCTCGCGGACTATGAGCGGAGGCTTTCGCCTCTTCCAGAGTCCTGTACCGGCACCTTGCTCGAGACCTGTCGCAACTGGGATCGTAACTTGGACGGCCGAGACCCTACGTTGCACTATGGGTTCTTCTTGACATACGATGAAGAAGAAGAGATCGCGTCCAAACTCCTCGACGAGGGCCGCATTGCGGAGGACCCGCACGCTCATTGCACAATCCTGGTCAGCGATTATCTCAACGACAGATTGAACGAAATCCTCGGCCAGGATCCCGACGAACCCGACCTCGATTTTCGGGATGAGCTGACTGTGTCGACGCACAAAGATCATGACGTGTTCACCTTATACACGACCGGTGCCGGATGCGGCACGATGCCGGACGACATCGAGAAAGCTGTACGTCACTTCAAGGAAATCGCTCCGCAACGGGAGCCGATGTGGTACTTTGACCTGGACACGTACTCCCCTTCGTGAGTGTTATTCCAACCTCCAATGATACCTCGCAAAGGCGACATGTTTAACCACCTCACTTAGCCTATTCAAATTCAAACCTTTCAAGGCAGAGAAGGTGGTTGGTCCTGGGCTGGCTCCATTCCTGCGCAGCGCCGACGACCAGTGAAATGGGGTCTTGTCCCGTCTGCGGTCTCGCTCCGATCGTCTACACGAGCCTGTGACTAGCCAGGTCTGAGAGAGTGGCTATTGGGGCTCGCCGCCGCCTCCCACCCTTCGCACGGTTCGTTTGTATCATGCCTCGTGTTGATATATCCCATGCTTAGGTACATATATTGTCATACTGTTGCGCGAGGCCGGTTTGTTGCGAGCGTATCATTTTGATTGCGGGGCAACATGACCTCGTGCATATATCGTGTAATCGGTTCGACGCGAATTCCCACTGGCAGCGGTGAGCCACTCAGCTCAAGCATCCTCGAAACCCATCCATCCCCGGCGGCATACGCTGCACCAGAAGTGCCATAGCGGCTCTTTCTCTTTCATAGCACATCGCAAACTATCCCCGCCACCAATCATGGCCGCCGATGAGATAGACGACGCCGAGTTTCACGATGGACGAGAGCTTCAAGAAGAAGTACAAACAGGCGTGGACGACACAGGCGAACACTGGATGGTCTGCCCCTCGATCCAGTCTTACTCTTTGAGAGCTACGCTGATTAATATTGCATTCCCACCTTCACGCTGATTAGAACATACGAAAAGACTTGGCACGATGGCTCTCTCCCCTTCCGAGGAGTTACACCGTCCGCTTAGTGACTACCTGTTACTATTGGGACAAAACATCGCCTGCCCCCGCCCCTACCCTGCATTACGGGTTTGTCTTGTCGTTCGAGGAAAGGGAGGTCCTCGCACAGAAGCTCCTCGAGGATGAACGCGTCGTCATCGAAGATGCACAGCATCAGCCGCCCATTGCGGTAGTTCACAAGTATCTTAACGATACATTGAAGGCGATATACGAGCAGGAGCCTGTGCAGCCCGGGGAGAACATCCGCATCGAGAGGCCCGAGTTCAGGACGGTGGTTCCAGTCTCACCAGAGATGGGAGACATGGTGTTTACCCTGTACTGGACCGCACCCGGGCGTGGCTGGTGGCCGAGAATGATGGGCACGGCCGTACGCGTCTTCCAGGAACTTGTTCCGGGACGTGAGCCAATGTGGTACTTCGATGCGTTCACGTACGCTCCTTGGTGAGTGCTTGGTGTTTATAACTTGCCCGACAATGACATCGTGGAAGGACGACGAGTCTGACAATCTTCCTTAGGCTACGTCGTGAATCGATTGGGTTCTATCCAGAGACGCTCGATCCGGAGGAGGTGGTTGGTTCTGCGCTGATCCCGTTCCTTCACGGCGGCCGCGACCAGTGAACAGGGTATCTGTCCGGCTTACGGTGTCGTTCCGGTTACAAGTACAAGCCTGTACAACCAGAGTGGGGAGGCGGAAAGGATGAGGCATCATGACTGCCGTTGGCCAACCAATCTTTTGTGATCAGGAGACAGTGTAGGCCTGGATGATCAGAGTTGCGACAACGTGTCACGCGAAGATCAACGGCGACGTAGAGCCGGGTCTGAGTTCGCTTGTCTGCTCATTCGCACTTCACGGAGGAGATGCAAACGCAATGATATACAGAAAGTTACAAGTGTCGCGTAACACATCATGCTAACTTGACAGTCTAAAACACGGACAGAACGGCGACACTTCAGTAAGGTTTATCAGCCGTGGATTAACGGAAGGCAATACCTTGGCATATAGAGAGTCCACGACCTTGCCGACTTGTTCCAGTGTGTCGATCGCAGCACCGTATGTCCTCTATGCGCGATATGTTAGACCCGTCGAGAGCGCATCCGTTTCAAGGGTACTTACATCTGCCTGGGGCTCCTCGAAGATGAGCAGGCATCCGCGACCCTGATCAAGCACGCCGTGGAAGATCTTGTCCAAAATCATCTGCGACAACCTAAGACGTCGAACACTAGAATCAGTTCCTGCGACAAAGGGATGCGACGACTGGCAAAAACGCACTTCAGCTCGACCGCTTGCCGGCCCTGGCCGACCTGCTGTGCGATGTACTCAATCTCAACGACCGAGTACGGCTCGACGATGCGGAGCAGATTCTGCTCGAGCAGGGTGTCGTACAACGCGGACAAGTGTGTCCGGATCGTGGGGTCCGACGAGAGCTCTGGAAGATGGGTCAGTATGAATGTTCACAGTTTTATAAGGGCGTCCGACACCGGGCGAGAACGAACCTTGTTGATAGTCCTTCAGCGCTTTCTCGAAGTCCGCGAGATTCCGCTTCTGGTGCGCACGCGCGATCGCGCGCATGCTCTCCACGTCCCGCAATTGCGCGTACTTCGACGCAAGCTTGATTGAGAGAAGCGAAGTCACGTCTTCAGGCTGCAAACACGCGCACGTCGATCAGGAATCGTCAACACAACACGAGCGTCTGCGACGTACAAGGTTGAGCATGACTTTGCAGAGCAGCATGTACTTCAGCGCGCCGAGAGCGCTCGGGTCGTCTTGCGTGCTCAAGTTCTCAAACGTCTCGTAGAAGTAGGAGTATGCGGTTGTGTAGTCCTTGTCTTCGGCGTGGAGGATACCGGACTGGAGGTCGAGACGGGCTTGGAGGTGTGGTGGGCAGTATATTGAGTTCGCGGCGGTCCGAGCAGACGTCAATGCGGCCTGTGTACCAGAGGGTCAGTCAGTGTGAAACCGGATCCCGAGCATACATCCATGCCATACCTTCGCCTTTGCCAAATTGCCAACTCCTCGGTATACCCTGGACTCCAGAAGGTGCACCTCGGTAAGCACCATCTTGTCGTCCAGTCGCTTGAGCTCCGTAAGTAGGGTCTCGATTAGAGCAAGTGCAGGTTTGTATTGTTGCGTGTCCAGTTGGCTACGTATGCTGTTTGAGCTACGTCCGGGACGTTCGGAAGCGCGTGAGTACTCACAGGCCAACTAGCCGGGTCTCGAGACTGTGCTTGAGGAATATCCGCTTTTCGCGCTTTGCCCATTCGATGTTCTCGTGCAAGACACCCATTTGAATCTTCTGGCTGTTGGGGATGCTATTGAAGCAGTCGAGAAGTGTACGGACTACCCGAAGCTGGTTAATTTATCGAAGGGTTTCCAGGACGGATGGAACGCACTAAGCTTCGCCGTCTTCGCCTTCGCAATAGATGAAACGAATCCGCGCGAGAGGTTGATGACCTCTGCAATACCTTGGGCATTGCTGCAACGCGCTTGTAAGTTTCATGAGGAACCTTGGCTGCAGCCACTGGAGTACGTACTTCTGGTCACGGTATAGTTCACCGAGCTTCACAAGAGCCGCCTCTTGTTGGCGGAGCTCGGCCTCTTTCTCCTCCGTGGAGGCATGCTTGCTACTTGGCGATGCTAGGTATGTCTTTAGCTACACGCCCACCGTATGTCGGAAGCTGAAGCGTACCCAAGATCTCCTTGTAAAGCGCTTCGGCGCGTTTGGGATCGGAAGACGCCCCCGCTTCCTTCAGGAGCTCTTGCGTTGATGACATGCTCGTCGACGCTGCAGATAGTAGGGAATGACAAGAGGTGGACCAGGAGGTGAATTGGGCAGAAGAAAGCGTATGAAGGACAACTTGAAGCGAGATGAGCGCGACGGGTGACGCGTCGAGGAGCGTGGGAATATGCGCGGTACTGACGCGTCGCCTGCCCCAGTCCGCCTTCCCTCTCGCTCGTTCTTGTACACCTGTACTGGCTGTTCTGCTCGACCCACCTGCACCTGTATACCACATAACCCGCGTGGGACCACCGCAATGTCTGAAGACGCCGTCCTCCCCATCCCCAACCTCGGCCTCGCGCAGAACTACTTTGTCCTGTCTACGCCTTCTCTCGAACACTTGCAGCAGGATGCGCGCAAGGAACTCCTTGAAGGCATTCAGGCCGACCGTACGTGTATCGTCTCTTCTGTGTAGCTCTATCAAGTTGCTGAACCCGCGCGTCCAGACATGGCGCCGTACTACCGTATAATTACCGCCACTAGTGCCCTTGATCTCGACGAGGCTCTGCTCGCGCGGATGGAGAAGGAAAACAAGGAAGAGCTGGACAAGATTGATGAGAGACTCGAGGAGGCGAAGAAAACCGAGGGCGAGACAGACATCGCGGACGCGCTCCGCGCGCGCGCGAACTACCTGACGCGTATTGGCGACAAGGTGAGCAAGGGATAATATCCCGCGCGACATGCATTGGCTAACAGACCGCATTGTACATAGGACAAGGCCGTGGAGGCACAGAAACTTGCACTGGAGAAGACACCAGGGCTTGGCTCAAGGATAGACATCGTCCTTACGCTTGTCCGGATCGGCTTCTTCTTCGGCGACCATGACATGATCACTCAACACCTAACACAAGCGGAGGAGTGCGTCCTTAAGTTGTCCACTCTGCCGGGCACCTGACTAACCTCACCGAAGGTTGATCGACAAGGGCGGTGACTGGGACCGGAGAAACAGACTGAAGGTCTACCGCGGCCTGCACCTTTTGTCTATTCGGCAATTCAAGCGCGGAGGAGAACTACTACTCGACGCGCTCTCAACATTCACCGCAACGGAGCTCATCTCCTACAACGACTTCGTGGCGGCAACCATTATCTCCAACGTCCTCACCCTCAACCGACCCGACCTAAAGAAGAAGGTAGGGAGGCTTCGTCCAGGTTGTCTGCCATGGACACGGCTAATGCGGCACTGAAATAGCTAATCACCGCGCCTGAAGTCATCCAAGTCCTTCCAGAACTACCAGTATTGGCAGATCTGATGAAGAACTTGTACGACTCGCATTACGACAAGTTCTTCCTCGCGCTTGGTACGCCCACGACCTCTGTGCAACATTTGAGCTATTATGCTGTATGCTGACCTGTCCATCAGCTGCTACCGAGCAAACACTCCTGAAGCCCAACCGCCTCCTCGCACCGCATGCACGGTTCTACGTGCGCGAGATGCGCATCTCAGCATACAACCAGCTACTAGAATCCTACCGCAGTCTGACACTAGACAGTCTGGCGCGGTCATTCGGTGTAAGCACCGAGTTTGTCGACAGGTATGTACTCCGCCATTATCGCTGTTCAGGAAGAAGTGTACTCATATATGCGTTGTAGCGAGTTGTCACGCTTCATCGCGTCGGGGCGGCTGCACTGTACGATCGACAAGGTCAACGGCGTGGTGGAGACGAATCGGCCGTCGGTCAAGAACGCGCAGTACGAGACGGTCATCCGGCAAGGCGACATCCTGCTCAATGCCGTACAACGGTTGAGTAAGGTGTTGTACTGAGCGGGCGCAGGGCGTAGACTGGACTTGTGTTGTAGGTTGTAGGTAGCTTTCGGACGAGTTTTCGCTTGCCTTGTGATTTGCATCTTGAGGGAGTCCGGCCTCAACCCGAGGTAAGACGAGATGTGACAAGAACGTTTGTGATGACTATGATTACAACAACCTCCGGATGATGATGCATTAGATGGAGAGCGTAGAATGAGGGATAGTGCTGCGGGAGACGGTGCCAGGAGAGATCAGGGTTTGGACTTGGGATCGGTCGGAGGCTCTGGTGGCGGAACGCCCCATTCTGGCAGGCCCTTTGGTCGCGCGATACGTTTGGGCTCCCACTCTTCCGTTGGGGCTGCGCTGAGTTTCTGAATGATGCGTGGAAGTAGATGAACGGCATGCCTCCAAGAAGAGACTGAGTAGACGCACAAAGTACTCCTCTCGAATGTCGATCTTCCGCCGGTTCTTCTCCAAGCCCAGCTCCTGTTCCTTACTCATCTGACACGTCCATGTATAAGCATAGTTCACTTTTGTGCCGCCATGTTGAAGGCGAGACAGTTCGAACTCACCGCGGAGACCTTCTGGTCGTGCAGTTCGTACCGCGTCTGCGTGAACTGCTGCATGCCGAACGAAGCACCCACGATGAGCAAGACAAACGGGACGCCAAACAGCGCAGGGTATTTTCTGAACACCCTGCTATACGTCGGCGAGTTTAACGGATTCGAGGGGAAGGTGGGCATAGCGAGCACAAGCAGGTCGAGGCCAGAGAGGGCCGAGTGCCGGGAGCGCCCAAAGCCTCCGCAGACACGCGCGGGCGTCTCCATGCGCGTCCCCGCCACCGCGCGTCACCGTCGCGTCTCTCTCCCAGCCTGCTGCTCAGTGCTGCTGCCCCACTGACTTGCTGACCGCGCTGGGGCCCATGCGTCGCTGAATCTGCTGGGAAACTGAAACATGTCTACGGAATCTACTGGGGAGCCTGACAGGCTGATGACTGCGAGTCCGGACAGGATGACCTTTGAGGGAAGCGCTACAGAGGATGAGGATGGTGAGGCGCATGGCAGCACCAACGGCGGGGAATCCGTCAACGGTGTGGAAAGCGGCGAAGACGGAGATGAGGTCGAAGAAGATGAGGATGATGAAGAGGATGAGGACGACGATGAAGAGGACGAGGAGCCTGCACTCAAGTACGAACGTCTCGGGGGAATCGCACACCAGCTGCTTCAGAAGGACTCTGCCTCTACCCTCGCGTATGCAAACCAACGCCTTGTGAGCCGCGCATGGTAGGTGATGCGCGCTCCTGTATACTGAATGGTGCGGAATAGGCTCTAGGAACACATGGAGGAATGCTACATATCCTTGACCTCTCAGGGCAGCATATCAAGTCATTCACGGCGCACACGGCTTCTGTGAGCGACATCTCGATGGATGTTACCGGAGACTTCATTGCAACAGCTTCGATAGACGGTGAGACTCCTATTACATGCGCGACGGGATACTACAACTCGTACGGACGCTCATCGCGTCTGCATTGGAACGCGACTCTCAGGACAGGTCGCAGTGCATTCCCTCTCTGGCTCGGAAACTCCTTCATTCAACTTGAAGCGGCCTCTGCGGACTGTCGCCCTTGAGCCGAACTTCGCGAAGAGCAGCACGCGGTCGGTCATCTCCGGCGGCATGGCTGGAAACCTGACTCTCCACGAGAAGGGTTGGCTGGGCTACAAGGAAACGGTTCTGCACTCCGGAGAGGGTCCTATATGGCAAGTGCGGTGGCGTGACAACCTTGTTGCATGGGCAAATGAACTTGTATGGCTCTTCTCCTGCGAATTACTTTCGCCAGACGTTGAACATATATACAGGGCGTCAAGATTTACGACACGCAGTCGCAAAGTCGTATTACCTTCATTGACCGCCCCGCAGACAGCCCCCGCGCAGACTTGTTCAAGTGCACGCTCCACTGGCAGGACAACTCTACACTTCTTATCGGCTGGGCCGACCAGATCAAGGTTGCCCGCATTCGCGCACGTCCCCGCAAGACATCGGCCGCCTCTAGCGGACCCCCGCTTCTTGTCGAGATTACCGCAGTCTTCCAGCTCGACTGCATGATGTCCGGCATCGTCCCTCACCTACTATCCCACTCTTCCCCAGGGTCCGCCGCGCTGATCGAAAGTGCCGTCAAGAAGACCAACGGGACAGGCTCCGTGCGGTCGACAGCTCCCAAACCCCCAGCACTTACCGCGTTCCTGGTGCTCGCATACACGCCTCCGGATATGTCTCTCTTGACCGGCAACGAGGCAACGGCCGACAGGGCGGAGCAGGCGCGTAAGCAGGCGGAACGTCCAGAGCTCCGTATCATCTCGCGCGCAGGAGAGGAGCTCGCGGCAGACGCGCTTAGCATCACGAACTTCGAACGGTGGAACTGCAACGACTATGTGTTGGTGGACATTGAAGCAGGGCCTGTCAAGGCCTCCGCTTCGGGGTCTGCAGGGGAGCGGTACTATGTGGTACTTAGCCCAAAGGACCTCGTCGTGGTGAAGCCGCGGGATTGGCGCGACCACGTTGCCTGGCTGGTTGAGCGGAAACGGTACGAGGAGGCTTTAGAAGAGATCGAGCGACAGAGCGACGAGGCCGACGCGGCAGGGGAGAAGGACTCGATCGACGCTGTGCAAATCGGGCAACGATACGTCGAACACCTCGTCGGCGAGGGCGACTTTGTCAAGGCTGCGCGCCTGTGTCCGAAGGTTTGCGGTCAGGACACGAAGCGCTGGGAGGACTGGATCTTCGTCTTCGCACAGAAGCATCAGCTGCAGGTACCTCTTCTGGCAGGATCTGCCGACGTCGTACATGCTGATCATCGTCCAGGCGATCATCCCTTACATCCCCACGGAGTCGCCTACCCTTGGGCCTTTGGTCTACGAGATTGTGCTGACGTACTTCCTTGCCCACGATCGACAGGTACGTCTGTCTTGTTGTACCAGGGCATATTTTGCTCATCGCCGTCGATGAAGGCTTTGCTCCAAACTATCAAGACATGGCCGAAGGGAATATACGACATCTCTGCCGTCATTGTTGCCGTGCAGTCTGAGCTAGACAGGGCGCCCTCGTCTTCGACCACGAAGCCCACCGGCCCCGGTACCGTTATCCTCATGGAATGCCTTGCAGAGCTGTACGCATAATCCAATACCCCTGCGTGTGTTACCGTAACCTCACATGGATTTGCAGGTTCACCCTCAACCGCCAACCGGGCAAGGCATTACCTTACTTCCTCCGCTTGCGGCGCCCGAACGTATTCCAGCTCATCCGCGAAAACAACCTCTTTACCGATGTGCAGGACCAGGCACTCCTGCTCGTCGAGTTTGATCAAGAGCTGCGCGAGAAGCGGAGACAAGAGGGCGAGGAGGTCGACACCGACCCAGTCGCAGCGATCACGCTGCTCGTGGACCATATCCACTCGATACCGGTGAGAGCAAGTATTTACGATGTCTTCATGTGGAGGGCTGACTTTGGCGCGTCGCAGATTGGCCGTGTCGTCCAACAACTCCAGTCGCGACCGGCGTACCTATATCTGTATCTGGACGCGCTATTCCACAAAGACCCACATCTCACCTCCGCGTACGCGGATACTCAGGTAACGCGCTGTCGACCTCGTCTCATAATATACTTTTAACCCTCCTGATTTAGGTCAAACTGTACGCAGAGTACGCTCCTAGGCGGCTTATCGACTTCCTTCGGGCAAGCAACTACTACAACTTGGAGGAGGTACGTGCTGGTCTCTCAAATCGGAATGTTCAGCGCTTATGTGGACGCTTGTGCACAGGCGTACAACGTATGCAACGAGCGCGATCTGGTTCCAGAAATGGTGTTCTTGCTTGGACGCATGGGCAACAACAAGAAGGCTCTCAATCTGATCATCGAGAGGTTGGGCGATGTGAACCGGGTAGGTGCTTCGTAACATAGAGATTATCTCATCATACTCATCTATCCCAGGCCATCGACTTTGCGAAGGAGCAGCACGACGATGACCTCTGGGAGGACCTGCTCCGATATTCAGAAACGCGACCACGTAAGCTCTTGTTGTACATACCCCTACACAGAGGAAGCACTGACCACCTTCGCTAGCTTTTATCCGGGGGTTGCTGGAGAACGTCGGTGCGGAGATAGACCCCATCCGCCTCATCCGACGCATCAAGAATGGACTGGAAATTCCCGGCCTGAAGGGCGCGCTCATCAAGATCCTGCACGACTTCAACCTCCAAGTCTCGCTGCTTGAGGGCTGCCAGACGATATTGAACGGGGACTGCGCGGACCTTGTGTTCAAGCTGCACAGGAACCAGACGAGCGGATTCTTCTTGAGTGGTCAGTTTCTGCCCTCATTAGGTCAACAGGGATCCCGCGCTCACGCACTGCTCGTTTTCAGCGAAAACCCCTTGCCCAATATGTAGTCTACCGATATCTCAACCAGCGCACGGCCTCGCGCTGCTCTTCCTCTGTCGGCACGTTGTGCACGCGCACTGCGTCGACCATGGCGAGGAGCTGCCCCAGCAGCCGGACCCAACGTTGGTAGGCCTAGGCATCGGCGGCCAGCCAGGCCTGAGTGGCAAGATCGCGTTGTACGTACTCACGTTGCTGCTGCCAATTGTGTGTCTGATGGCTTATCGCGTGATATGTAGTACTGCGATATTGCGGGCGAAGATCACGCAAGGCTGTCCTGTGTGCCACAAGCGGAGCGAGGGCGACCGGACTTGACACTTTTTGCTGTATACCCTGGATCGCCAGCGCTCAACACAGATTCCTATTGCGCGCCTTCAAATTTCTAGTGGTCCCAGTTGCTGGCGTTTGTCCGAACACACTCTGCGCTGAATCCGAGAAGCACGCTATTGCATTACATGGATCATAACCCACATGCGCACGTATAAAATCGCCACCTCGCATTGACATGAGACGCGAAAGACGATGGCAAAGTAGATGTGAGTAGAAAGAAACATGAAGAAGCATCCCAGCTCGTTGCAGACACATCCCTATCCTTCGCCTACACTACTCTTCATCGTCTTCCAGAATTAAGACGTCGGCCACGTCCCATGCGTCCTTGTTCTGGAGGGTTTCAAAGTTCGGTCTGTTTAAAAGAGTCAGATGGGTTAGATCGTCAGAACGCGCGCACAGACTCACCCATGAGAATAATCCCAGAACCACTTGGGCTCGCTCTGGCCTGTAAACGGGTAAAGCATGTCGCCGAGGTGCTGTACGGCCGACGAACGTACGGCCGACCGTCCTTGCCAATACCTTCTTCCCCGTTCGAATACAGTGTAATGATGTGGCCACAGCCAAAGCGTTCGGACCTTGCAGGAACAGGCAGCTCCGTGCTGATTTGGGCCCACGGGAAGAGCCTCTCTTCGGAACGCTTATAAACCTCATTGCGAATCGCGTGTAACATATCGATGGGCCCGTGGTAATCGAGCTGGAGCTCGGCCGCGCATTTTTCCATTTGGTCCGGCTCTACTCGAAAGCCGTAGTAGAGCAGGTAGCCGTCCTTGCAACCCCGTCCTTGAAAGAACCCGCAGCGCAGCTCGGACGGTAGATGCTGAAGCAAGGTGTTCATGGCGGGGTATGACTTCCAAAACTTCTCGTAGGCCTTATAGATTTAGGAGTCAGTTAAGATCGAGCGAGCGCGACGAATCTAAGTTACGCACTTTACCGCGCAGATCCACCGACATGTCAGTGTACAAGTACGGGTGTTCCGGGGTGCAGACGGGTTTCCCGTTTGCGTCCAGTACAATGATGGTGTAAGGGTTGTTTTGGTCAGGTAGAGGGAAGCCGTTCGCCGTTCTAAGTAGTCCATTGCCCCAGTTCATGCTGGGCAACTTCGGGGCTAACTTGGCAGAGTGATGTTGTGTCGCAATGAGCCGTTTACTGCGGGTAACGGTTATTGAAGAGAACTGGGTGAGTGCCAGAGCAGCCCACCTCCCCGACTCAGGCCCTATATACCAAACCAGGCAGATATCTTGGACAGGATCGGATCTTCGAATGTGTCGACGTCTTGCAGGATTAGACCGGATCTTCCAGGGGGGGGGAATACACGTCATACGAACCGCAGGTGATCTAAGTGTTGATTTAAGTATGGTCCCCCTACGTTAGATGAGTGCGCACGCGTCGCATCGCACGGTAGATCAAAGACGTAAAAGTGAAGGCGGTTTCTAACGCCTCCTTATCGTACTCACCGGGTCCTCACGAAGGGGCGTGGCCGCGTCTAGTACAGACTCAAAGGCAACCGTGCTGGCAGGAAAGCGCTCACGACTTTTCATAAGACACTTGTGAAGTGCGTTGCTAGCGATGCTGTCGGGAGTACCTGATGTAAGTAGACACCTCTTCTGCCTCAACCCATATCACCCGCAGTATCTGCTCTCGACCCACAGCCAGGACGGTAGAAGGCGTCTCCCTCTGATGTTCCCTGGCGCATCTTGTCAGAACTCGCAAGCGCAACTTGGAATTTCGCTTACATGTATCCTCGGCCGCTAGTGATCCCTGCGCCATCAAAGAACCGGTATCCCTCAATATCCTTCAAGCACCGCACGCACAGCTCTCGTAGCGACTGCGTTTGCGGCAGCGGGGTCTCCATGTCCGCGTGCCAGGTCAGCGCACCCCGCGGAACGTTCTCGTCGCCGGTGATCTTCCATGCGCGCAGTGTCGCTGGATGGCTGACCCAGTCAACGTAAAGGCATTCTGTCCCATGAGGGCCGTGGGAGCCCAGCCAAACCCCCACCAACGTAGTCGGATGCCAGCCCGGGGATAGAGGTTCGATGTGCTTGGGCATGTCGTGACGCAGAGGGTAGAAACGCGGAAGAGAGTCGCTGATGTCGTTGAAACCGAGGAAGGGGCGGGCACGTTCGGCACAGCCCAGCGAACAGGATATAGACAGTGCTGGAGGCTTTCTGTACGACGTTGGCGCAGCGTAAACCACGGGCACACGGGGATGAGGGGGAAGATGCGGGGTCTGGTTGATACTGCGTGACGGCGTGCATCGGATTCTTGGGTATCGTGTCCCATCTACCCAAGTGTGAGACTCGGCGCTGGGGAAGTCTGGGTGCGGGTATTGGCCGCGTCGCGTGTGCAGGTAGAAGCCTGTTGTGCATGGCGACTGCAGCTCGAACTCGGCGCGATGGGTGGGTGACCGCTTGTCGTAGGAACATGTGATCATCGGCGGCCCATGTACGGTGGCGGTGTGGCTGAAGTCGATGGTTGCCAGTGGAATGTAAGTGGGAGGCTCCGCCGTCTCCGGTCCGTCAAGGTCTTCCGGCTGGAGAGCGCGGAAACGCCACAATTCGACGATGATCCCGCCTTGCCTGTTGGCGTCGCCGGCTTGAAGACCTACTTCAATGACGCTACCGGTGTACGGGTGGTCTCCCGCCCAGAGCCCGAGCATGGGCCCAAACGTGTGCAGTAGCCTCGTGTAAACGGTGTACCACGATCGTCCGCCGAAGTGGTCAATATTGCGAAGGCCATAGGTACTTGACAAAGATCGCCAAGTAGACTCATCACCGACAAGAGCGTACAACGTGCGACAACTGCACAGAAGATTGACGAGGTCTGGAGAGTGTAAGAAGGAGAACATGTCGACGAGCACGTCATAGGGGAGATGTATCACGGTCCGTGAAGCTGGAGGACGAGGCGGTAGAGTCTGCACCATGGCGGGAAGCTGATGGACGGTGGTGGCGGATGGTACGGACCTGACTATAGGTGGTTCAGGGTGGTTTGGGGGATGTGTCGGTGCCGGTGGGACCTGATGCTTAAGGTGCGATAAGTGAATGCATAGTGATAAGCTCTGCAGCTTACGAACATCTTATCGGACTCGGCACCGGATGGAACTGCCCGTCTACTTGGTAGAGATGACTGTAGGTGTCATGCAATTGTGTGGGTGCCCACTCACCATGTCGTAATCTTGCGTGTATCTTGACTAGATGGGGACCAAGGTATCGGCCAACACCGCGGCAATCCAAGAATATCGCACGAGAGTCGGCATGGAGGATGAGATGAGCTAAGAGACAGACAACGAAGCGATTATCACGTCTGGTTGATTCATCAGTGCCAGCGGGCGAGGTTGAAGAAGCCTCGAAGATAAAGACTAGCCGTAGTAGGACTAACCGGTTTCTGGGAGCCGAGGAAGAACCCGGATTCCGGGATACCACGGTACCATCATCGTCTCGCAAGGTCGTCGTAGCACAAACTCGGCGGTTTGAAAGAGCATCATCGTTGTGCACGACAGCTAGCATCATCACAATCATATACGCAACGGCGGAGGTTCCTCGAGAGCATGCTCCATCTGTGCCATTTCCTCGTCGTAAAACCGCTCCAGGGCTTCCTTGTCTGAGCAGAATCTGTACAAGTCGATTCGGATCTTTTCCGCGGCTGCGGCGGGCCGTTGTGACTTGAAGGCCGTCCCGATGCGCCCCGGGGCCATAAGGCGGTTGGTGAGAAAGAGGAACCCTTGGGAACCTCCCAGGACCTGAATGAATGCGACGCCAGTCCGGTGGACCCACTGAGAGTACTTGAATGGCGCACGCCTATAGGAGTAGACCACGTCCACCTGGCTTGGGTAGTGGCCGGCAGCTTCGATATCCAAGACGAAACCCCACTTCCGCAGTAGCGCCGACTCGAAATAGTGCTTCGCGTGGAAGCCTTCCGGCACTCGTCTCTCGAGCTCGGATACTTCCGGAGGAGGCGTCGCTAGCGGGATGGGGAAACACGATTGGAACGGATTCTTCTCGCGGACGTCGCTGATCTGGTCGACGTAAGCCTCCACAAGCTTGAGGCCGTACCGCTCTATCGTTCGGCTCCATTGCTGGAGGAGGTCTTCGATGCACCGTGCAGTTGTACCAATCCAGTGAAACTCGAAGTGGAAGCAAGTGGCAGGATTGTGAATGATATCGTGGTGCAAGACAACCGCCTCGGCCTGGTCACTTCGCTACAATGATATGCGCTATCAGTCAGGAGTCGGAGAGACGTCGGGATGTATCGTACCTCTCTAGGATCTACGTCAATAATCATGCTCTGACTGAGAATGAGCCGCTTGTTAGGTCTCTTGCCAGAGGCGGTTCTCGGCGAGTTCAGTCCTCGCGCATTCATATCGTCGTGCTTCACGGGGCGAGAGAACCAGCTCTGTTTCGGTGTAACTGGAACGATGTATTCTCCGCGGAGGACGTAGAAGTAGTGCCTGGAGGTTCCGTGAGAATCACGGTCGCTTCAGGTAAGTATCGAACATACCCGTCTAGGAATCCATGGGTCCCCCGGCAATGGTCGAACAACCCTTGCCCCATCAGTTTGGAGCCCCAATCAGTCGCCTGCTCGCGATTTGAGATATCCCGGAACTCGCGAACCAGCCAGTACACGAACTGAGTCCCGGTGAAGGAGTTCGAATATCTTCGGCCATGCCAGCTATTCTCCTTGATCGGAACGCCGTCGTCCTCTCGCATGGCCTTCGCGATAGCGCTGAGGGACATCTCGCTGATATCTCTCTCGCTCTTCACCTTCTTCTTAAGAGGGCCTGTCGCGTGTATCTCGTCCAGGTGGGCGATGATCGAGTCGTCCTGCACGCATTGCGCAGGTCCAAGGTCGGTGGGGATCAACCTCACCGGGGGTGGAGGGTTGGGGTCGTCCTTCGCGTGCCACCGCGCCTTCGAGAAACACTCAGCGAGCTTGTCGATGCCGAGCAGTCGGATTTCCTCCTCGTTAAGCTTCTCTCCAGCGGGGCCCACACTCATATGCGGGGAGTCGTCGGCGGGGATAACGACAAAACGTGTGCGCCAGTACCTCAGGGACTCGCTGAACTGGTTCTCGTACCCCGCGACCAGCATGTCAAGTCTGAATCCTCGTCAGCACATCACGATGCGAGTGGCATTTTTCGCAACGTACCTGTTCCACCCGTAGTTCTCCATACCGTGCGAGATGAACGACGTCCTCATCTCCGTGTATCCCTCGCCGAGCTTCGGCCAGATGAGGAACTGATAGTCGAAAGGCCTCGTCGACGGCATCCTGCGCACGTATCGCCGGACTTGTATCGAATCGCCGCTGTACATGATATGGTGGATCTCATTGCTCATGCTGAGGTACACAGAGTCGGACGCGGACCGCAACACGTCCGCGGCGCCGACCGGCCTCGCATTCGCGGCGTCGTCTCCAGCGTATGACTTGGTTCGGCGGAGAGAGCTCTGCGCTTCGGTTTCCTGGCCGGCAGCCGGTTTGGCTGGGCGCAGGACGAACTGGAAGCCTTGAGCGAGGCGGAGAGCGACCATACCGCGCATGACGGATAGCCCCCACGCGCGCCGGACCTGGTCGGGACTCCCGTACATGGCAGGGAACTTGACGAGGAAAGAGTGCATCTCCGGGGGGTCGACTACGAAGTCGTACGAGAAGACGCCATACGATGTCTCCAACTCGTGCGTCGACGGGAAGTGTTCGACTGTCAGCGGAAGACACAAGGGGGTGACCATCGCCTTCCACTTGATCTCGTGCTTGGTGAGGGGCTGTGGGAATGCGTGCTGCCACCTGCGAGCGAGCGAGGCTTGCGCGTACGGCACTGTGGCTTGTGGCTTCCATGGGAGGACTTCGATAGCAAGGTTGGTAAGGGTGATAGGGAGGTTTGCAACGCTACTCATCGTCCCTCGCCGCTTACTCAAGAATTCCTCTCGAGGAGGCGTACCGACGGGCGAGTGGCGGGTGAGAGATCCACGATGAGGCACAGCGAGATCGTCGCCCTCGTTCCGGCCACGAATCGGCCGCGCCGCCGTCCCACCCTGGACCGCAACAGATTGAGAAGTGCGTTGGCTAGAGGTGCGCACGAGTGTAGGGGTGGAGGATGCAGGAGAAGCAGTGGGTGTCGCCTTAGTGACACCTGAAGCAGATATTGGAGACGTCTGTGGTTGACTGATTCCTGCTCGGAACGGGTTGAGCAGCCAAGTTGGGGCATATTTGGAAATGGTTGAGGCGCGGGAGGCGCTCGGTCTACGAGACTGGCCGTCTGAGTCAGCCACAAGGGTAGACCGCGAGCTCCTTTGCGAGCGATTAGACCGTACAGACAGAATTGACCCTTGAGAAGGAGATGTGCTCAGGACGCCCCCTGCGATCGCCACAGAAAGTCGTTGTTCGCGATCCATATTTAGATCGTGGTATGGGAGATGTGAGACGGCTAGCCTTGGACTTTCCTCAATGGGAAATATACGCGACGTCTCAGACGTGCGGATGGTAGACGACCGCTTAAGGTCGCTTCCGCGCCACGAAGAGCTCAGCGTTGGGATACTTCCGCTCGAGGAGAGTGAGTTCCGGGTAGTCGGAACAGGCTTGATATCCTGTCGTATGGTGAAGACGTCCATATCGAACTCGTCCGCCTCCTCGGGTGAGAGCAGGGTGGCTCGCTTCTCCAGCAGGTCAGACGTCGATATCCCAAGATCAGAGAGCTCAGAGGCAGACTCGCCAGAAGAAAGACCTGGGTTGTCAGCATCAGGCAGGTACGGAATCTCGATGCGAGAGAGCACGTCGTGGTCTAGCAGTCCTAGCATCTCAATCTCGTGCATCTTTGCACGCGCCACAAAGCTACATTGCCAGTATAAGCAAGTTTTCGCTAAGGGTAGAGGAACTCGTACCGGTCTTTCCGGAACGGTAAATCCATTTGTCGGTCCCAAAAGGATATCGTCATCCAGAAAGGCTCCCACCAAAGCGTCTTCAGTTCACGTAGATCGCCCAGGCTATCACCACTCGAATCGCTGTCCCCGCCCCACAACGGATCTAGTACGCGAGGACCACCCTTGCCTGCCTCCGCACGACCATCAGGCTCTACGCCCTGGAAGCAGAATATCGGTGTCTGATGCAGGGGAGGTTTCGCCAAAGAGACCAAATGGAGAGGAAAGCCTTGGTCTAGCATCCGCGTGGTGGTGAGCCGTAGAAGCTGCTTCGAGACGCGGAAATAGCCCGTTCCGGGCGTGATGACGATGGTCGACGAGCCCGTATACGACAGAGAGCGGTCGATGTAGTGCGTCTCCGACGGGTTCAGAGCAAGGTTGAGCGCCTCCAGCAGCGGTCCGTCATGGGCGTAGGAGATCTGCCCGACTAGTCGGACGTGGTCGGGCGCGGAGCTGCCGTCGGGCGAGGTCATACATTCCCGATGGTAATGGTGAGCAAGGAGGATGTCGCGTTGGAAGGCCCAGAACGAGTTCTTCAAGCTCACGAGCGTGGACTTCCAGTCGTGGAGCACCTCGAGGTCGGTGATGACTTTGAAGAAATCCTTATACGACCGCCCTTCGTCATCGCAACGCATCGGGCCAGCTGCATAAGTGATCTCCGAGACGTCGTAGTACACTCGCGAGATGAGGACGATGGTGACGATGTGGTTCGTGGTCACCTCGCCCCATTTGGCGAAAAGGGCAGGAAGGAACGAGTGCACGATCTTCTCGTTGTAACGTTCTCCGTCTCCGGCAAACTCCCAGAGTTCCCGACACACTTGAATGAGTATGGTCACCTTCGCAGAAAGTGACCTATAGACCACTCTGGTAGCCGGAGAGACGTACGCGGCGGATACCTGAAGATGATCAGCATGCATGCGCAGGCCCCGTGGCACGCACTCACTTTCTTTCCCCCCACGTACACGTCATGCACTTTGGCAGCAATGACACCAATGAAGGAGACTTGCTGGTCGACGTACAAGCACTGTCCGACTTGGTCTCGTCCTAGGCGCCACATATCGTTGCGACCAAGATATTGGTCTTGGAACACAAACTCGACATAATCCGCGGTGAACTTCTCCTTCTCCACCTAAGCTTGTCACCGATGTTGGCGCGCGCACACTCGATGACAGACGGGGACGTACCTTTGTGAGAGCGACCTCGCCAGAATTTCGCAGCCCATATTTCTCCAATACAAGTCTAGGGAGAGAAATCTTCAGAGCCGCAATCAGGAACGCGGCGCCGCGGTTGGAGAACGAGAAAACTCACCTGCAGCTGATGCTTCAACGAAGGGTCCTCCGGCGGTACGACGAACAGGAAACCAGGGGCACGGTCTGGAAGTGGGGATGCGATACAAATCAAGTCGCCTTCTGCGACGCCTGGCCAATGTTTGTGGTTTAGCCTGACTGTCCCTCCTGGTCCATCGTTCACCCAAGCAGTGAGCGTCCGTGAGTCTCCCACCCTCAAAGGCGGCGGAGGTACAGGCACAGGCGTAGAGGATGTGGCAACTGGTGAAGGGTATCCGCCAAACAGTGATTGCACCGTATTGGATCGTTTGCGACCGCCAGAAGGAGCAAGAGACTCTGCGCGCGACATTTCGTAGTCCGTGCTACACTACCTAGAGGCAACCCAGCGACTTGGTTTGTCTTACACAGTTTATGTACGCGTCATAGATTCCTTGGAGGCGTTTCCGGCCAGATTCAGAAGGTGTCGTGCCAGAGAGCACGCCAGAGAGCGCGTATCGTGCAAGTTCGCGTAGGTTAGCTCGCCTTGCACGCCGGTAATGCCCAAAGCCTCAAAGAGCGGAAGATGATGATATCCAGCAGTGCGTAGATGTGAATCAAAGTATTTCGCCCCAGGAATGTGGCAAGCGACCGAGAGGCGGGAGTGAGTGGAGGGAGAGCTAGGGAGAGAGTGAAAAGCCTTGGAGGTCGTGCCGCTTGAGTCGCGCGTTGGGCGCCTAATTAACGCTTCTCCCTCGTTCGTTCCACCCCTACTTAAGTATACATACACTCCAGTGCATTTGAATCAAAACAAATATCATATGATCGTATCCCTACTACGTATTTAAGGCTTTCAAGTTCAACGCTTCGACACTCAGCGCTCAGATGCCGGTGTAAGAACATGTGCATATCCAGCATCTCTCAAGGGTACCTCGATGACGACAGGGGCTATGTTGAGGCGGTCTGGTGGGATCGAAGAGACCACCTTCGCTAAGCTCTTCAGCGCATCATATGCGCTCACTCGTATGGCAGGATCGACCTCGGTCAGTGACACAAGGATATCGTCTATTTCTCGAATGGTAGTCTGATACGAAGTCAACGTCAAGTCATGGGGAAGAAGTACGCATTGGCACTCACCTTGAAGTCGCTCAGGCTCGTCCCAAATTGCCAAACGTCAAGCTTGAATGGATCGTATGGATTCCCGGACAGGACTTCCTCGGGAACGCGGCGAAAGTACCGCTCCGGAAGGGGAAAGGAGGGGCACAGCGGCAGACCGACACAAGTACGCGCGTGAGCAGGCACATCCTCCTTGAAGTGCAGGGCGGTTTCGAAATCGTTCAAGAAGACACGAGGTCGGGAGATGGTGAGTTGGCGAGGAGCGAGAGATTCTGGGAACCACTGGACGAGAAAGTTGTCCAGAAACGCATCCTGATAAACTGTGAGCAGCAAACCCGGGCAGGGTATGTCGAGACGTACTCGGTGAGCTACGCGTATGCTATGCAAGAAGGCAAGTGCCTTCGCCATGAGGTGTCAGCGAAGGCATTTGCATCATACCATCTATAACTCACCTCTAGACACTGCAAAACCATGTCGATAACATCGCCGACCGAGTTCTCAGTACCGAAACGGTACGCGTATGCCATGCTGCATCCCATCCTAGGAAAGACGCCGAAAGTGATGTCTTCTAACTCCAGCAGCTCGAAGAGAGGGACGGCATGGTTCGGGGTTGCCTGGCTGGTTGCACCCCTCGCCATATACTTCAGCACTTCCAAGTGGTTATGGCCCTCCGAACCGGCGCATATGACTCGTATGACTACATCTCGACCATCCGCGGTGCGCGCACAGCACAACATGCCGTTCTGCGCAGTATTGTTAGTGTCTAGCAGATAGCCAAGGAGCAATCACCTACTGGAAAGCCAATCACAGATAGCTCGAACATTGGGCTACCCATTCCCCACCCACGATGCAATGGCGCGAGGGCAAAGCCGTTACAAGTGACCTCGATGTCTTGTGGTGGGTTCATAGCATCGACGCCACCGTGACGAGGTAACCATAGATGGTACCCGCGGTCCTTGAAGAAGCTCCCTAAGGAGTCCCATAAGGAGTAGGAGAGCGCATCGTCGGCATTTGGAGAGCACCACTCCCCGAGTGTGCGGGGCAGCTGCAGGGCATCAGTCCTCGTTGATAGGCTGAATATAAGTGTGCGCTGGAGGCCATACCTGGGAGCGCAAAGAGGTCATCATTGTTCGACTGCCTGACTTCGAGCCTCTGTGAGTGAGAGATAGTAAGCCGTGAGCGCAGACACAATATCAAGCTGACTGGAAAAATTTGGCCTTGCCACAGGCTGCTAATACGTCCAGATTCGTCGACGGAGCAGCAGATGCGTATGTTGATGGTGGTCGTGAGCACAGCTGAGTGCCCTCTCTAGACGCCCGTAGAGGACTATTACTTGAACAGCTGATCGATGTACGCATGAAGTTGAATCTGTATAAACATCTGTCCATCATTTCGACAATGCAATAATCTCCTACCAGAAATGAGTTCTTGGAGTGGTGTCCTCTGAGAGGAACGCGACGATGGTTTACGAGCCTAGTGTACCACGAATTCCAGTAGATTTGATCGGAGCGCGAAGCTGGATGTACCTATAAGGCAGGTCAGTAGGATCGTGGCTCAGACCAAGTGGTGGTATGCCGAGGGCGAGGACCGATCGCCAATCGCTCCTACTAGGTTCATTCGAGGGTTCCGTATCCAAGGGAGAGAAGCTCGTCATACATTTAGCACTCGACAGATCGTCATGATACACGAAATACAGAGAAGAGATACTTCAGATAAAATCGAGCACGCACAAGCTGGATAGCTTCAGTAGTATGTAGAACCCGCGCGAGATGCGGGGGGGTGAGCTGAGACACGAATAGGGATGACACGAAAGAAGGAACATTACGAGAGAGTGGGCGGCGGGAGTGATGATTGACAAGACATAAGGTCATCTACGTCGATGGGAGCAATATTGAGACGTTCCCATGACATCGTCCGAGCGACCCGCGCTAGATTCGTCAATGCTTCGAATGCACTGATTCGTTTAGAAGGGTCTTCCACAATCATTTCAGCGAGGACTTCGTCTATTTCTTGAATACTCGTCTGGTTTGAAGTAAATGTCAGTGCGTGATACAGGAAAAAGCGCCGCCACTGACCCTGAAGTCGATCAAGCTTATTCCGAACTGCCAGACATCAAGCTTGAATGGATCATACGGGTTCCCAGAGGACACTTCTGGAGGAACAGGTCGGAAGTACCGCTCCGGAAGGGCAAAAGAAGGACACAGAGGCAGACCGGTACAGATACGCTCGTGTGGAGGTACGTCCACACTGAAGCGCACCGCGGTCTCAAAATCGTGGAGGAATACGCGAGGGCGTGAGATCGTGAGCTGGTCGGTGGCTAGAGATTCCGGGTGCCATTGAACGAGGAAATTGTCTTTGAACGCATCCTGACAGGGAGTGAGTGATCGTATAAACACGCTGGTGCAGGAACGTACTCGGTGGGCCATGTTCATACTGTGTAAGAACGCGAGTGCCTTATCGAGCCGTTCAGGAAATGTAAACATACGAAGTTGTCCAGAGCGCACCTCCAGGCACTGTAACACCATGTCGATAACATCGCCAACCGAATTCTCGGCCCAGGAGTCGTACGCATCCGCCATGCTGAACCCAACCCGGGGAAATATGCCGAAAGTGATATCTTCGAGCTCGAAAAGCTCAAAAAGTGGGATAGCATGATTCGGGGTCGCCTGGCTATATGGTCCCCTCGCCATACACTGCAGCACATCCAGTTGGTTCTGGCCTTCGGAACCAACACGTATGACGCGGATGACCACATCCCGGCCGTCTACAGTGCGCGCTGCACGTAGCATGGCATTCTGCAACGTATAGTCAGTATCCGAGCAACAAGTACTGCAAAGTGAATACATACAGGGCAGTGTATTTCCGAAAGCTGCCTTATCCGACTGCCCTCGCCCCACCCGCGGTGCACGGGGGCGAAAGCAAAGCCGTTACAAGTGGGCTGCAGCTCTCGCGGAGAGCCTAAGTAGGTTAGACCGAAGGGAATCCAGAGGATGTATCCGCGCTCCTTGAAAAAACCATGTAGCTTTCGCCACAGAGGATCGGCAAACGTCTCATCGCCACCTGGAAGAGACCAGTCCTCGATCGTGCGCGGAAGCTACGGCACCAGTTCCCGTGAGTGTGTTGTCTTTGTAAATTCAATAGAGCCATACCTGAGAGCGCAAAGAAGGGTGTGCCGCTTGTGCGCGATTCTTGAATATTGATAGGACGTACGAAGAGAGCGCGGTAGACGCTACGAGACCTGCAGTTGCTGCAAATACACTGGCAGCAAGCCACAGAGACGGCGACGGCGGGCCTTTCAATGTGAAGCTCATTTTTTCAGTAGTTTTAGACCTCGAGAGTTGGAGTGGTGGACAGGAGACTGAGCGCACGGATTCGGAGGTGCAGGTGAGCCTCAAAGGAGAGTAATGGTGGGTGCAGCGAGGGGAATCGTTGGGAATCGCCCAAGTACGGTGCATCGCTTTAGCGGAGCTCAGATTGGGCGTGTGGGCGCTAAGTGCTTCTTCGACCGCAACCACTCGGAAACCACCCAATCGCTTCTCAGGATTCTACAGCGACCGGTATCTGGCCACCAGCGCTGTGTCTCCCCCTTTGGTACCGTACAGAGCTGGAGCAGGAAGACCAAAATGGAGGATTTGGGCCGAACACGCAGGGCAGTGGCCATGAGAACTAGAGTCTGTGAACGGAAGCCCTTGAACCCAGTGCTTCCTGGGCGGCGGTACGAAGCACCCGTGGCATCCCTTGGTCCCCATGGCACTCTCTGGGTATGCAAATGTGGCCCGTGACCACGCTGTACACAACTTGAAGCTGAACGGTGCTCGCGCTCAATCTCCTACGGTACACCCACCTGTTTCATATCATCTATGCCTCCTACGAGCAGTGAACTACGCGCTCAGGTAGGCCGTCTTTTGTACTAGACCGCGTTGCACGCCGCTTACACGCGAGACATCTACTCGTGAACTTAGCTGCCGAGTACTCTCGCACAATGGAGACTACCCAAAGGCCCTGAAAAAACATGGATCGCGGTAGCCGCACTTTGGGAGGCAGTTCGCCCCGTCTTTGAGCGAGCTCGTATCGACATCTGGCGTTCTGTCGATCTACTCTACCAGCGAGCACGCCCGGGCGAAAAGTACCTGTCCAGCGGATTCGCTTACTTGACGCCACTACGCGAAGTCGATTGGGCCATGGATACCAAAGTATTCAACCATTATGTACACTTTAATTCTTCACGATCTCACGATATCCCCTAATGGTATAACTGATGGTCACTTACACAGCTCGTCCTCAGCGTCTTGTGAGCGACTGCGGCTGTGTACGAGTATTGGGAGGACACGAGCCTCATTGCATTCACGCATGGACTGATCCACGGACATTCACGCATACACACGCTTTCACGATGTGCTTTCGCATAATTTGTACTAGTGTTGCTCGCTGTATCATACGTTCTTGATGTTCATTGAAGGCGCGTGGCTTTGGAGAGAGACTTATGAGGAGACTTTGTGTATGCGGCTGCTGCATACGCAAGACGTCAATCGAAGGTGGTGACGATCGGCGCGATCAACAGTGTCTCGGGCAGCATGCTGTTGATCACCTTGGCCAACTGATCCCGGGCCTCCGCTGCGCTGGGGCGTTTCGAGGCTTCGGGCTCTGTCATGGCTTCGAGTACGTCTTCGATCGCGGGGATTGTGGACTGCAAGTCCCCTCATGAGTTACAAGGGTCCATGTCCTGTGCTCGACGGCTTACCTGAAAGTCAGAGAAACCGTTCACGAGCTGCCACACATCCGGCTTGAAAGGCTCGTACGGCTCCCCAGAACGCATTTCGGGCGCAATAGGGCGCAGATACGGGCCAGGAATCGTGACCGATGTGGACGTAGTCCCTGGCGAGTGCTTGAAAGCGTGCTCGAAGTCGTTCAAGTACACCCGTGGGCGTGACAGTGGCACGCGCATCGTGGCAAGAGATTCAGGGTGCCACTGGACGAGGAAATTCGACTTGTCTGTGTCCTTCAGGGGTTTATAAGTAGTCAGCGCCAACAGGTCCGAGTATCAGCAGTGCCACGTACCCTGTGTGCTATACCGATGCTATGGATGAAGGCTAAGGCCTTCATCGACTAGTCGTTAGCATCGTCATGGCGCCGATTCACAAGGACTCGCCTCTAAACATTGCAGTATCATATCGACTATATCTCCGACGGAGTTCTTGACATGAAGAGCGTAGCTGTGGGCTACGGTGGCGCCGACAAATGGGCTCACAGCGAACACGATGTCCTCGAGATGCACCTCTTGCCACAGAGGAACGGAGTGGTTGTCCGTGCGCAAGCTGATAACACCTTGAGCGATGCTACGCAGGATATCCATATGCGTCTTCCCTTCGTCGCCTATGGCCACCATGCGGACCATGACAACGTGGCCCTCGGCAGTGGTCGCGCCTCGTACGAGACCGTTCGCGACGGCTGTGCCGGCGAACGCGGCCGCGTACGGGACGCGCCCGAGCGCGACCTGGCCGAGCGCGCCGTTGTTGCCCAGGATGCCGCCCTGCTCGCCGAACGTGACGTTCTGCGGGACGCTGTCGTTCCGGCACTGGCCGCCCGTGATGTTCAGGTTGAACAGGTCTGCCGTCGCAGCACGCGCGTCAGCGTCCTCGAAATGTGCGACGCGAGACAGGATGGGTAGGAGACTTGGAGGACGTACCGTCGGCGGTGCGGTAGAAGAACCACGTGTTGTTGTTGATGTTCTTGAACTCGCTCGTGCTGAACGGGATCTTGTCGTCCGGGTCGGTCGCGGAGGTGTTGCGGATGAAGATGCACGCGATCTGGTCCGGGAACTGCTCCGCGATCTGCGGGTACGCGGAGAGCAGCGTCGACGAGGACGTGTCCCCCACGAGGACTGTTGCGCACACAGTGTCAGCAAACGAGACGCGGGCGTGGACGGCATGCGCGCATATACGCACCGAACTTGCGCTGCGGGAACGTCTGGAAGAGCTTCAGCAGGCTGTTCTGGCGCGCCTCGAGGATCTGGCTCGGGTCGGAGATGTTGATGGGGCGCATCTCGAGCGAGCCGAGCGGGAAGTTCGCGAACAGGTAGTCGACGTACGTGCGCGTGAGCTCCACTGGGGTCGTCGTGTCGTAGTGGAACGCCGCGCCGGGCAGCGTCTCGTTCCAGTGCGCGTACAGCGCGGGGATGCCGGGGACGTTCACGTACGGCTGCACGAACGAGTTGAAGAGGCCTTCGTTCGGGACGTACACCTTCGTGATGCGCATGACGTCGTCGATGTCGGACACGACGGAGATGCCGCTCGACGGGACGAGGATGATCGTGCCGTTCCCGGGGCCGGTGACGTTGGCGATGCCGGTCTCGATGATGCGGACGGAGCTGCTGTTGCTGCCGAGCCCGGGTACGGTGACGAACTGGTCGAATTCGCCGACCTCGTCCGTCGTGGTCAGCTGGATGCCGGAAGAGTTGGTCACCGCAGAGCCGTTCGCAAAGACGAGCGCGGTCAGGTTGGAGCTGGGGATCGGGATCGACGCGAGGTCTTGCGTGCGGTTCTGCAGCAGGGTGGTTTGCGTGGAGTTGAGGTTGCTCGTGTCGAGGTCATTGATTATGGAGACCAGGTCGTCGGCGCTGACGTTGGGGAGCTTGTACGAAAGACCATAAAAGCGCACATTCCAGCTTCAGGAACAAGATGTTAGCATTGGTATATGCATATGGAGCCGCGGGAGAATCTTGCACGTACTTGTCACCGGTGAAGTTCGCGTACGACGGTATCAGAAGTGCAGATGCGGAAACATTCTGCAGGTCGTTGCCGTCTTTCACCCCAACCTTCTTCTCAATGTCACTCAAGCTTGGCCAGCTTCCGAGAACGGCTGTTCGAAGAGGACATTAGCACGATCTTCGCACAGGATCTCGTATCGCTAAACACACTGGGTAAGGCCGAAGCTACGGCCCCGGTGGCGCTCGAGAAGATAGACTCTGCGCTTGATAGTGCCTGGGGAGCGGGTACGGGCGCAGGAGTAGGAGCTGGCGCTGGCGCTGCTACTGGCGCCGGACTGGCGGTGGCGAAGGCGACAAGAGCGAGAACGAAAAGGGACGAGGACAACATGGCGGCGACGAGCGGACCCAAGAGACTGAGCGAGGCGTATACAGCGAGAGTTGTGGGTCTTGGCAGGAGAGTCGAGCGAATTTATGGCGAAAGAAATGCGCGCAGAGCCTGCTGGAGTCGTGAGTGGGTGGAGAGAAAGCTGATGTGACGTCAACGTGCTGTCTCCAATGACCGCCATCCTTGTTCGGCATCTTCATCCGTTTCCAACGCGTTGCGCCGCATGCCTATAGACAGTCTATAGGGCCTGGGTCGCATGACGATGCGGTACCGTGGTGGCGTGCATAACTCCAGGGCGTTTGGGGCAATCGTGAGATGCATGCATGGACGAAGACATGTCGCTGAGCCAGGATAGAGTCGCTTCGAGCAGCTTGCTTACTGCCCGGAATGCAGTGAAAAAGAGCAGATTATTCGTTGTTCCGGACGAGTAAATGCTTCCCGGCGGTGAGTGAGACTTTGAGGGAGAGTTGGAACACGTTGAGCAAATTAGAGTTTGTGTTACCGTTGTCAACGCGTGTCAATAAGCGCCCCCATATACGCACGCGATACGTCATCTGCACGTGGGCGTGTATAGCGCGGGGCCGCGGGCCCTCTGCCATGCAGCGAGCCACGGTCGTACTACCGAAGCCTCTGCACGCCTAGTACTGTCGAAGTTAACGTGTTCCCAAAAACTAAATTCAACGAACCTGCTGCCATCTCCTGTGAGCGGCCCGCAGTGTACGGTGAACTCATCGCAATTTGTGCGTAAAATATACGCCTACATCGGGTACTCTACTCTTACAAGGGAATCATCGGAAGGCGCGGCATATAAATGATACACATAATCGAGAACGAAAGAGGCTGAGATACAGAAGATACACGCAACGAGATCATCGGAACTCAGCTGCGGAGAAGATGCATGCAAACCATGCATTGGGCTCTAGCATTGGGCTCTAGTTCTGGCCGCTCGACGACGAAGTACCGCCGGGTGCACCCCCATTACCGGGTGCACCATAGCCTCCATTGTCATGGCTCTGCGTATTAGACGGTCCAGCGCCGGGGGCGCCATAGTAGTTGAGCCCATAGCCGGGCGCAGCAGTGTTGCCAGTCCCGTAGTTGGGCGCCACATAGCCAGGCGGCAGCATGGCAGCGTTGCCTTGGCTGTAAGCCGGGTTCCCCATGTATCCATGTGCTGCATTGTACGGCGCAGCTTGGCCCGGGGGAGCGCCAGCGTACGGCGCTCGGGCCGGAGCATGGATGCCACGACCGTCAGCTGGGTAGGGCGTGCCAGCGTACTGGCCAGAGCCATTTCCTGGGACACCTCTTCCTCCTGCAGCCGGTGGCGGCAATGCAGCATATACGCCACGCTGACCGGCAGGGACAGCTTGACCAGCTGGGTTGTTCGGAGGATGAGCGCCTGCAAAAGGAAACGCGGACGCAGACGGATTCTGAGCGAATGCGGGCCTAGTACCATGGCGGAGTCGGTTGACGATGCGTCCGTCCTCTGGGGGGCTGCTCCAGGACACAGGTTCGCTACGATGATGTTGTCAAGAAGCGCTGCAGATCGTCTGATTGAGCGACTTACTCTGTCTCGGTGCAATGAGAATACTGAATCCAGATCAGATCCCCGTCACCAAATAGAAACAAAAAGCGTGGCTAGATCATGCGGTCAACTATTAGAACAGGTATATAGGCGAAGGAGCAAAGAGACACGCACACCGTCCACGGTTTCAAGAACAGTCTGCAAGCAGCCGACATAGTATCTGCCATCGGGGGGTCCTTGGAATTTGTATTTCCTGCCCTGTGTTGAGTTCGAGTCACGGAAACGTCAGGACCGACCCAAGGTGGTAAAAAAAGTCGAACGTACCCGGATGAGGGGGGGGTAAGCCTTCTTGCCGGAGGACTGTAAGCAATTCAAGGAGATCAGCGAATTCTGCACCCAGGCGAGAACATGACGCTGTACTTACCATAGGGATCACAGGAGAGAGTAGAGTCGGTCTAGATGATAGAGAGGACACTTCTGGAGCTGATTCATCCGGCGAGGGCTGCTTCTATACAGAGCGGACGAATAAAATCTGGCACTCACTCAAGACCTAGACACATGCGGCTGCTTCAAGGCTGGAGGCGATGCGCGTACTCCATGGTTGGCCTGGGAGCATATCAGCGAACCAAATACGCTAGAAGACAGGAACCTCGCTTCGTGTCAGCAGCGACGGAATGGGTGGATGAATGGGTGTTAGCAAGTCAGAGACCGGATACCAGTGTGCGTCGCCGGGGGCACCCGTCGGAGTGCCATTTTGTTATCGCAAGGCACAATCCGTGCCCTACCAATCGCTTCTCGCCGGTGAGTTCTGTAGGATCTGGCCGTCAGTGTATGGCCGTTAGCATACTACATCGTTCACAAGATATCAGTGTGCACCAGGAACGCCGCGACAGCGGTAAAGATACAAACATAGATGGCCATAGTACCGATACGCGATCTCCAAAATCACCGTACGCCACTGGGGAAAAGTCCCCATACGGCGACAGTCTACAGCAGGGGCTTTGGTTGTCCTCGAATCAGCTGTATTGGGATTTGCCAGGGAGCTCACGCACCGAAAGATCTGGTCAGGTTTGCCTCAAGAGCCTGGGTCCGAGAGACTGTTTGTTGAACAGCTTGTCGGAGCCGATACGCACATGTCGAATGGGCACAGGTGGGCTTAGAAGTATAACGGAGCGCTGGATGAGTCCGCCGGAACCAGCCTAGTGGAAGCAGTGGACGAACCTCGACGAACGCATATGGAGGGCTCTGCTATGCGACACGCGCTCGTCTGATGCAGATGGCTGTACACCTGGCGCCGGAGAAATTCCGAGAACGCTGTTCCATCATTCGCAACATGTTCACTCTCCGCCCGTTCCCACCCGCACGCCAGTGCGTCGCCAAAGACGTCCGCCCTTGGAATCCAACTCATCAAGCGGTCCGGAGGATTCAGGGTTGAGCCTACTATACCTCACCCAGGCATCCTCTACCACACGTTTAGGAAACCCGGCACGCAGCCATCCCTTCCACTCTAACTCCAGTATACGCCCCATGCAAAAGCACGCTGTTGGGATAGCCGTTGCTACTGCTTGCTTAATGGCTATCGCTCAAGCATACGTGGAACGCAGAAAGGCGCTGCGCGACTGCCGCGACACTTGCGAGAGCCGGCTCATCAGGCAAAAGGTATGTCTATGGCTTCATCCGTGTGACTGGGCAAGCGGGCGAATGCATTCGGATCGCGTCGCCACCGCTCTCTTGCGGGACCTCGGCGGGGGTGGAGCCCCCGGTCCGGGGCCGAGCTCAAGCCGGCGGAGGCGAGTATGTACATGAGACGGAGCAACACTAGGGACTACAGAAACAGGGAAAGCGGAAGGGTGGGTGAGAAAAGAAACACGAGCTCGACGTAGCCGGGGCTTTCGAGCACGCGGGTGAGAAGGGAGGTGTGTGGAGAAGAAGTACTACGCTACCTTTCGAGCACGCGGGTGAGAAGGGAGGTGAGGAAAGGAGGAGTGAGGAGATGGTGAACTAAATACTACTGTGAGGTCCAATAGTCCAAGCACGGGGGCGCGAGCCGTACGTAGAACCAAGCGCGACGCCATGGCGCGAGCTATGCGAAGCCAAGTCGTGCACGTACGACAATGCGGCGAGTGGCGCGCAAAGCGCGCGGCGCGTGCGCGAGTCACACTCTGCGCCATAGACCATCGACAACTCTACGTTGTCCACCACATACCGAGTCGTTAGACTCGTATCCCCGTTAAGTAGAATGTGCGCTCAAATATTTCTGACATACGCTAGCTTCCCCGGGACTTGGAGTCATGGCGTCTTCTTGACGTAGAAGAAGGTGGCGACGAAGCCCTGTGGGCAGTGCTCCGCGACTTTTTCAGCAAGCGGGGCTTCACCTTTTGGACGTCCATCCGCAATAGCTATATGGGGCTCTCCTCGGATGCTGATGTCACCTCTGGTGGCTTTGGGTACGCACCACTCACTCGAGGACTGGGGGAGAAATCCCCTCACGAAAAATTGTACCGGTTCTCGTACCCGGTAGGTCCCCGCGCCGCTTCGACATCGTAGGTCATGTTCTGACGTTTGTTCATGATAGCACCCTTCATGCCAAGCCGCTCAGACTGCTGACGGCCGAATGGTCATCATTCGAGTACTGGCCATCGGGGAAAGTGGCCGCGAGCATATCGACATCCTCAATGATCTCGCGCGAGGCCCATTCAGTCTCGTTACTTATAACCATGTTATTCCCCTGTTGGAGCTTCTCCACTTTGAGGACATCACATTCGGGGTATTCCCGAAGATCGGTGGGGACGTACGAGATGCGTACGGTTATTGGGCCGAAAACTCAGTCGGCGACATCTTGGACATGCTGCTACAATGCCTTGAGGTATGTCCTACGCCTCCCAATTGCGTCGCCACGTTGCTTATGCGCGTGTCAGATGCTTGGTTATATTCACAATAGGCGTATCGCACATCGGGTGAGTGCTACTGCACACGCTGTGGCGCCGACGTGTGGCTGACTCTGGCAGCGCAGGACGCCTTCAAAGACAACTTCCTGGTGCAGTGGCACCCGGAGACTATGAGAGCGCGCACGTTCCCTGTATCACGCCCGCGGGTGTACCTAAACGACTTCGAGACGGCAGTGCAATTCTCGCTCGACATCGCCGCAGAGGACTGCGTTTGCGTCGGACTCCCCGTGGGTCCGTCGCTCTCCGACAGATATTGCCGCCCTGTCCCGCCCGAGATGCAGACGGGCAAACCGTATGATCCATTCAAGCTGGACGTATGGCAGTTCTCCACTAGCTTCGCGGACTTCAAGGTGCGTGCCTCGTACACTCACTCCATCCCGCGCGGCTGATGTTTGATCTACAGTGCCATATTCCCGAGGTTGACGGTATCCTGGAACGCATGAGGGACCCGGATCCTATGTTGCGTCCACCAGCGTGGGAGGCGATGAACCGCATATCGGAGGTCATCCAAGCTACTCCCCCGCAAGCGCTCTATTATCCCCCCGATGTCGTGCGCGATTGGGCCGATGATCCTGCTCCAACAAACACACCTCTTGATACCATTCCTGCGGACGCACCTCCTAATTCTGGTCCTGAAGACGCAGCGTAGCGTGTTGATTCCTTTGAATGGCACCTGACTTCGACCCTACTGTACCATTCTTTCCGAACTAGCGAACTGATTGAACAATCTCGTCTTGCATAGAAATCCCAATAGATTGCAGCTAGTGATCCGCTATTCTGCGCATTACAAACACGATATCCAGACACGTTCAATCAGGGCCGTGAGACGACTACGTAGTAGGCCAGGAGCCACGCGGAGGCAGCTTCGGCCTGCGCGCCGCCTTGAGGGTAGCAATTGGAAAGCTTTTCTGTTGGTCAGGACCCGTGGGCGACAACGGATGACCGGGACTGTGGACAGGGACGGATGGGGGGGTGTAGCGTGCATGAGCGTCATAGCAAAATAAAAGGATGCGCGGAAGAACGCAACTGGACCATTATGCACGCGTTTACGAGCCTTGCCCACGTCGTTCCGTCCTTGAATTGAAGCTTGTAACTGAGCTATCGTAGGAAGAGATGTGGTTAGCAGAAGTCATCTGCAGGGGGAGTGACGCGGTTTCACTCATTCCGCATGCGCTTTCGACCATTCCTATGTATCGGCCGATGTAGATGTCGCCATCGACTTCCATCATGTATTTCTGTGGGAGGTAAATGAGCGGTGCATATAGTACTTGTGGGGTTGGAGCTCATGCGCACCGGTGCAGCCGGAGGCTGGTTTGAACTCGAAGCCTATAAGAGTGTGGCGAGCTCAGATACGGATCAGACCCGAGGTTGATACTACGTACCATGAGTGTTAGACGACGATGGTAGGGATGTACGTTGACGGGGGAAAGGTTGTTCTTCCTGAGGTAGCAGTGCACCATGAGATGATTTTATACGGATGCGGCCTCAGTATGCTGACGTCTGACCCATGTAAGCCGACGCTATGGGCCTCGTGTTCTCCTGTGGGCGTCCGTATAGCCCATGAGATGCGAAGCCGTAAGTTACCAGCCTCGTGCACGACGCGAAGACGGAGACAAGGGTTTTGGTGCTGCACGAACAAGGCACATCAAAACGAGACGCGCGCCCGAGTAACCTAGAAGCACCGTACCTGTAGTTTCGCAGGAAGTTCTCGCCTGTCAAGATAGCGATCGCGCGGAACTCCGCAACTCCTTTTATGACGCGCATGGTGACTCGACCGGGTCCTTTTCTGAGAGAAATTGATGCTGAGAACTGTGAAGGCGGCCGCTGCGCTTCGAAACACAAGAAAATAAGTAATATTCATTCCCCTTTGGGCGGCGATAGCACGTCGGTCGAGTCAGTTACAAACTGGGACAATTGAGTGTCGGAGGAGTGTCAGTCTCCGGCGGAATCAATAACGCCTTCGGAGGCACTTCAGCGACCGCGCGGGACAGGTATTCCAGCGCGTCGAAGCTAGAAAGCCTGGACATTGTGTCATCCCATCTCAGCCCATCCAGGACCCTATCAATCTCCGGAATAGTGCTCTGTAGCGCATCGACTTCAGTAAGAGCAGATGAAAGGAAGATACATGATCAGGTACCTTGAAATTCTCGAGGCTTTTGCCGAACTGCCAGACATCCAGCTTGAATGGGTCGTAGGGTTTTCCGGAGGTGACTTCCGGAGGTACAGCTCGTGCGTACTTCTCGACGTCGTCGGGGTATGAATCCCCTTCGGGATATCCAGAGACTAGGCACTCTTCGAGCGGTGTCTCGTCAGAAAACATCGCGGCAGTCTCGAAGTCTGTCAGGTATACACGAGGACGACTCCGTGCGACGTGGCCGGTTGAAAGTGACTCCGGATGCCATTCTACGAGGAAATTGTCCTTGAAAGCGTCCTAGACCAGTGTTAGCAAGCGAGGCAAAATGTGAACAAAGAAAACGAGCACCCACTCTATGAGCAATGCTCAAGCTGTGAATGAAGGCGAGGGCCTGATAACATGTCGTAGCTCGATATCAGCTCAGGAGACGGACGATTGAAGCGCACGCACCTCGAGGCATTGAAGGATCATGTCGATCACGTCCCCCACCGAATTCTTCGCCCAGAAGCCATATGCGTCCTGCATGCGACATCCGACCCTCGGGAATACCCCAAAGGTGATGTTGTCGAAGTAGACCAAGTCGAGGAGAGGGATATTGTGGTTGTCCTCGTAAAACGCGTATGGACCTATAGACGCTGTCTTCAGAATTTCGACATGGTCCCGGCCGTGTTCTCCAATCGCCAAGACGCGGACCACAACGTCGCAGCCATCCGCTCTGCGAGCCGCGCGGCACAGTGGATTCTGTTGGAAGCGTTAGCAAGTCTCCCAGAAGACTCGAAACAGCGTACCATGGACTCAAACGCAAACAGATTCCGCACTGAACCAGGTGCTGGCCCCAATCCCCTGTGTTGGGTGGCGTACGCATAACCGCTCGAGCACTTGACGGTCTCCTCGGAGTCATCGACGTCAGGCCACAATATCAAATCAACACCGCGCTTCCAGAGGTTGTAGCCCTGTTGCTGAAAAAAGGAACGAAGAGGCGTCCACACAGTTTCCATTATATCCTCGTATGGTTCTCCTTCTTTCGCAGTAGGCAGACGCCACAAAGCCAACGTGCTGGGTAGCTGTCATTAGGTGCCGAGGGAGTCGATCAACTGGGATGCTGGGCAACAATGTTTGGATGAACGCAACAGTACCTGAGAGCGAACATGCGCAAACGCATTTTTGACGCCACCGTCCTGTACGGGCTCCAATTGTTCCACAGTGGGGGTGATCGGCGTGAGTGGTTCGAACATGTCGGAGGGCGCGTCACCAGTATGCGCAGTGCGAGCTTGTTGGGGGGTGGAGTGTTCGAGGATCCTAGGGAGTTGCTATCCCAGAGCAGGATCCAGGAGCCCGTGGTAGGTCAGAAACAGCGCCGGATGCCCCATGTTCTCGGGCCATGTGCATGGCCAGCCTGAGGGTGTGAGAGAGGAAGACGTCCCCATCTGCGGACTTGCAATTTAGGTGGACGGGCGCGAACAGTCTAACACAGCCACTCCCAAATCAGCGCTCGTCTCGGACGTCTCACTCCGAGTCTCTCCCCCGGTTGCTTTCCCCCGTCCTCCGCCACATCCTGATGGCAGGATATGTATTTTGTTGCGATGCGGACCGGCTGTATGACATGGAAACACGAGTGCATCTCACCAAAGCTTTGGTCGACGCACGGTAAGCAATCTGGCCGCTGACTCGAGCCTTGGCGCCGTCGGATTACTTGGTAACCTACTACACAACTTGGCAAACCTATCAAATCGCAATCGAAATCCATCCCGGAAGCTTTATTGAGAAACAAAAGGCGGCGTAGATAGGCATCATGGGCACGGAACCCGCTCGCTGTCTGCCGCGTGAAGTACAAGGCACATCAAGAAGAGCGCGTCCAAGTATCCTAGAAGCATGCGCCGGAGTATATTCCGCGGCGTTGTTCACCGGGTTCTAAATTTTCCGTAGCTCTCTGCAGCAGCAGCACATATCAGCAAAAAATAACGGTCGTCATGAATGCGCCGTTTAGAAGGGATACAACGGCTTTCACTCGGCTTTTCGGGCAGGCTGGCAACCAGCCCAAAACCATGCGCACGGCAATCCCTGCCGCCCATTACAGTCTGTGTGCGCACCGCCTAAGTTGCGTAGCGTTTTCATACTTGATCCCATATCCTGCTCACGAGCCTGTAGCCGCATCCTGCGGGTGGTCAGGAATATAATCCTTCTACGTCGCAACGCGTCGCTGTTTGCAGCCGGCAGTCAAAGTGGAATGAACCCATCGCAATTTGCGCGGTATATACATATACACCTACATCAGGTACACGACACACGGCTCTCATCCTACTCGTACAGGGGGATTCGTGGGACTCGGAGGCGCTGAGAAACGATAGTACACATAATTGAGAACGAAAGACTGAGGCTGGGACACGAAAGATATACACAAGATCATTGGAATTCAAGCGCGGAGAAGAGCTCGCGACGCATGCGGACCATGTATCGAGGTCTAGTTGCGGCCACCCGATGACGACGTGCCGCCAGGTGCATTGGCACCGCCATCACCATACGCACCGTAGCCTCCATCTCCATAGCCTTGGGCGTTGGACGGTCCAGCGCCGGGGGTGCCGTAGTAGTTGGACCCATGGCCGGGCGCAGCAGCATTGCCTGCCATCCCGTAGTAGGGCGGCATAAAACCGGGTGGCGGCATGGCGGCGTTGCCTTGGCCGTAGGCAGGGTTCCCCTGGAAGCCAGGTGCGGCATTGTACGGCGCAGCTTGGCCCGGAGGAACACCATAGTACGGCCCACCTTGGCCTGGGGCTGCGTTGCCGGAGTACGGCACGCCTTGGCCAGGGAATCCGGGACCGGGTGCGCCGGGTGCGCCGGTGTACTGGCCGGTGTACGGTGCGCCCTGGGGAGGGATACCGCGACCGGCTGCGTCGGGTGCGCCAGCGTACTGACCTGGGCCATTTCCGGGACCGTGTCTCCCACCCGCAGCGCCGGGCGGGGACACGGAATACCCAACACGCTGACCGACAGGAGCAGCCTGACCAGCCGGGTTGTTCGGAATGTAGGCGCCAGCGAAAGGAAATGGATCCGCGGACTGAGGGGTCGCGGGAGTGCCATAAGTGAGCCGGGGCAGCACGGGCTGGTCCATAGGAGGGGAAATCGCGGAAAGAGGTTCGCTTTTAAAATTTACTCAACACAGGCGGCAGACTCGCTGTGACGAGCGACTTACTTTGATTCGTGGCAGTCAGTGAATTTGACCCATTTTTTCTTTCCGTCGCCGAAAACAAACGAAGCGCGCGTCTAGGCCAGAACATTGGTGGTCAGAATATACATCTTCCGGCAGAGCAACAATACAATGGGAGACACTCACGCCGTCCGCACTTTCCAACGTTGTCTCCAATTGGCCGACGTACCATTTATTTTGTTTTCTGATGTAGAATTTGTACGTTCGGCCCTGTATAAGCCACAGGAATGTTAAGATAAAATGTATGTAGTCAGCGTGAAAAGCACACCTGTATGAGAGGCGGGTATGCGTTCCTTCCGGAGGACTATAAGCGTCAAGCATGATAGGATCACTAAGAGCTCTGCATTACGGCGAGGGTTGAATGATGTGCTCACCATTGTGAGGGCCGAGGTCAATGAAGTATGCGTAGATGAGAGGGAAAGCCACTGAAGTCGCTTATTCTCAAGTGGGAGCTGTCCGAGTCTTTATACATGCCAGTGGCAGCAAAGGGAGGCGCTCGCTCGCTCGCTCGTGAACGGACGACATGTGGCTGCCGTGTGCAGCATGCGTAGTCGAGGGTTCACCTGGGAACATATCAGTAAACCAAGTACGCTAGAAGAAATGCATACTGCCTCGTGCTATCTGCCCTGGTGCGGATCTGTGAATTGGGTCCGAGGAGGCCGAATCGTGTGAGTCGGCGGAATCTGGAGTCGGAGGGTCCATTCCGTTATCGCAGAAGATGATCTGTATCGTACAGGGTCGTTTCTCGACTCCTGTCTGTCCTGGCCTTATATGACGTGCCACATAAATTATTCGCAGGACATGAGTGTGCTCCGTGGACACTGCTGCAGTGGCACAACAATGCCAGTGCAATCGGGCTACGCAGCCAGAGCTCGAGTCCGGAAGTCACAATATGTAAGGCGATGTTCTCGATGCGAAAACTGCCTTCGTGCGGGGCTGTTGGGATCTGAGTTGCAATGCTTAAACGGGTGAACATGTCAAGACTCACCGCACGAAACTGAAAGAGTCAAGTCTGACTCATGCCATTCAACGATTTGGGAGTAGATACCAGACTCCAGTGCGCATCATCCCGGTAGAGATCGGCCGCAATAGAACGGTCTGCCGGAGCCGACATCCATGTGCAGGTTGAGGATGGGCACAAGTCGATAGAGAAGTGCGCGGTGCCAGAGCGGGCTGGCGGCGCTGGAGTCAGCTGGAAGCACTGTTCCAAGTACATCCCTTGCTCGTCAGAGCAAGGATCTCCACCCTCACAGGAGGGACTCAAAAGTGTGCGCTACGTCATTTCTCACCTAAGGTACTCTAACCTTCGACCCCGGCGAAGGCAAGATTGACGAGCAAGGAACCGCGCCAGCAGGCGCCCTTCGAGTGCTGGATGTGGATGCACTGCTCGGCTATACCCGGCTACGTAAAGAGCGCTCATCAGGGCAAGAACATCCATCACTCGTGATCATGTCGTTCGTTCTCCGCTTGTTCCCACTCACCAGATCGTTGCCAGACTCACCGTCCTTGGAACCCAACTAACTCGGTGGATACTAGCAGCGACCCTGAGGCCTGGTCCTCCTCTCTCATCCGACCGACCTCCACCGCACGCCGGTCATTCAAGAATCAAGCTCGCAACTGCACGTTATACTGAAGCTCTGTCTTTAGTATATACGAATCATGCCGAAGCACGTCGTTGGGATAGCTGTCGCCATGGCTTGCTTGGCAATCGCGGTCAAAGCCTACGTCGAGCGCAAGAAGACACTGCACGACAACGGCAACACTTACGATACCCTCCTCTTGAGGCAAAAGGTCTGTATCCTGTCAAACAGGCCATACTACACGCGATGCATGCTCACGTATTTGCATACGCTAGCTTCCACAGGACATGATGGCGTGGCGTCTCTTCGACGTAGGAGACGGTAGCGACGCCAAACTTTGGGGGGTGTTGCACGATTTTTTCAACAAGCGTGGCTACACCTTTTGGATCTCCATCGAGGATAGTTACATGGAGCTTCCCTCCGACGCTGATGTCACTTCCAGTGGCTTTGGGTATGCACCCCTCACTCGGGGGATGGGGGAAGGCACTCCTCACGAAGACCTCTATCGGTTCTCATACCCAGTACGTCTCACTTCAAGTTCGAATTCGCAGGACGGTCTCTGACACCCTCCCGGGGTAGCATCCCGGCTGTCAAGCTGCTCAGACAACCGACGGACGAAGTGTCGTAATCCGCGTTCTCGCGATCGGTGGAAGCGGCCGCGAGCATATCGACATCTTGAAAGAAGTCGCGCGCGGACCATACAGTCTGGTTACTTATAACCACGCTCTTCCGTTACTAGATCTTCTCGAGTTCGAGGACATTACGTTTGGGGTTTTTCCCAAGGTTGGTGGAGAAGTACGAGAGTTGTATAAGTACTGGGCCAAGAACTCGGTCGGCGACATCCTAGATATACTGAACCAGTGCCTTGAGGTACGTTGCGGCTCCCTCTGGGGGCTTAATATTTTGCTAACACGTATTTAAGGCTCTCGGATGGTTACACAACAGGCGCATCGCACATCGGGTGAGTGCGTCCAAGCTTGTTCTGGCGTTGGGTGGTGACTGACGCTAGATCTGCAGGACGCTTTCAAGGATAACTTCCTGGTGCAGTGGCAACCGGAGACCATGGAGACGCGGTTTTTGCCTGTGACTCGTCCGCGGGTGTACCTGCACGACTTCGAGACCGCGATCCGTTTCTCGCCCCACATGGCCGCGGAGGATTGCGTCTGCGTCGGAGTTCCTATGATAGACCCGTCGCTTGCCGACCGATACCGCCGCCCCGCTCCGCCCGAGGTGCACTCGGGCAAGCCGTATGATCCATACAAACTGGACGTATGGCAGCTGTCCACAAGCTTCGCGGACTTTAAGGTGTGTGCGCTGTTCGCGTTCTTCGTCCTGCGTGGCTGACAATATATATTTGCAGTGCCATATTCCAGAGATTGACGGCCTCATGGAACGCATGAGGGACCCGGACCCTGCGCTGCGTCCAGCAGCGTGGGAGGCGACGTATCGCATATCCGAGTTCCTCCAAGCGACTCCGCCGCAAGCTCTTTATTACCCCCCAGACATCGCGTGCATTGAAACGAAGGACACTGTTCCAGTGGACGTGCCTCTTCCTCCCAGTCCCGCAGATTCACCTCGCGGCCCTCCTGCTCCTAGCTTGGCGGCAGTACCTCCGACTGCCAGTCCTGCAGACGTACCTCGTGCTTCAGAGTAGCGTAACGATCTCGTACATAATATTCCATCTTCTGCTATCTTCGGGCCGCCTGACACTGACTCGAATCATCATATTGTGCGAATCAGTTCCGCGTGTGGTGACATCCTGGGACCGGGGGGGCCGTGAGAGGCTCAGCCAACCCAATTAACCCAGAAGCGCACCGCTCGGGATCTGTAAGGAGCCTCAAGGCCCGCAGTTTGAGCGGCAGTCCGCCATGTGCTACAAACTTTTGTGATATCCTCCTCGGAGCCGCGATCGTCGCGAGGCCCATCAGCGCTGGTATACCAGGCTTCGGCTTCTTGGGCGGCGAACGAGGTATACCGTTTGGTTGGTCCCCGGAACAGCGTGTGCACCTTCATTATACACCAGCCGCTGCGCTCGGCACGATCCCGCAGGCACAAATGGATCTGTTGAACAAAGCGCCGAGATGTGGACGAAGAACGCCTCGCCGTCTGCAGACTTGCAATTCGTGCGGATGCACGCGAACCACGACAGCACAGTCGCTGACTCGGCAGGAACCTCTTCGCGATAGGCTGCCTGTGTCGCTTCTTCGAGGGGATTCCCCCGGACCGCCCGACTCACCTGTGCCCGAAATTCAAACATTCACACCGCGCCCTCAGAACGATGATCCCCGCGCTCGTTTGCACGTCGGATCACCGAGCAGCCCGCGCACGTCCGTCTTCGACAGTTCCGAGTTCGCTTCGCACGCGCCGCAGTCTGAGCACAAATACACTTGATTAGAGAATTGATAATCCATGTAGTGACGTGATTCGTGAGATGCGTGAAATAGATACGGCGATCTAAGGGACTTGGCGGTGGTGGATACAGACAGTGGGCCGCGTTCGATCGGGATCGGGAGGGGGATGTGTGGGGGGCGAGGGGTGAGAAGGATGGGCGTAGGGGGTGGGTGCATGGGGGGGTGTGGGGTGGGGTAGGGGTAGTAACACAGGAATGTGAAGGCGAACGGCGCGGCGATCTCTCACGGCGCAGCCCATAATAAATACGAAATATGCAAGTGCAGATGTCCACAAGGGGAGACACAGGCGAGGCAAACAAGCAAGCAAGCACGCGCTATGACAGCCGGCGGTCGTCGTGGTGCCCGGGCGAGTGCGGCGGCGAGGCCGGGAGGAGCTCGTCGTGCGGGTGCGACGACGACGACTGCGAGCCGTGCTTCTTCCGCCGGAGCGTGCGGCGGATCGAGAACGCCTGGATGAGCGTCGACGGGTTCCGCCGCCGCTTCGTGGGCGCAGCCTGGTGCCGCTCGGACAGGTGGCTCTGGATCCGCTGCATCGCGACGCCGTTTTCTTCCGTCGCGAAGTCGAAGCCGCGGTTGACGGAGCGCATCCCCGTCGCCATGTCCGTGCGGCTTGCGTGGAACAGGCTTGGGCGCTGCGCTCGCTTGAGGCTGCGCGATTTGCGCCCGCCCCCGACGCTGATCCCTGCGAGGCCACCGTGGCGGTCTTGCGTGAAGTCGTGCGAGGGGTCGAGCTTGTGCAACCAGCGGGCGCGGTCTAGGTCGTTCGGCGCGAATGCGAGTTTCCAGGCTTTGGCGATGTAGCGGGGAACAAGGGAGAGGACAGTAACCAAGAGAATGGTGAACCAGAAATTTGGCGACAGGAAGAGGTAGTGGTCGTTTCCATAGATAAAGGTAGTAATCAAGCTGGGGGCGAGAGCCGCATAAACAGCCTGCATATCGCACATCAGCATTTGAGCGGCAGAGGGATGCTATTGCTTGAGAACTTACCGTGAATGCCCAAACGAGGACGATACCGAGGGCAACCGCGAAGAAGATCCAGCCAGTCCACACGTGCGTGTTCAACCCGTTGAAAAGATTGGCAGCCATCACAGCTGATATAGCGATGCTCTGCGGTGTGCGTTAATATCGCGCGTACATACGAATGAGAAGGGAAACATACGGTGGAGAACTCGTACTGGGCTACGTCGAACCCGTCTGAACGAGCCGAAGTCGACATGTAGGAGTAGAGGATCAGGAAAAAGATCACGGCAGACTGGAACACCGATGTTAACCAACATAACAGATCATCTAGTGTGGTGTGGCATACCTGAGCAACCGCCTCAAGTACGTAGATGAGGAACAGCTTCGTGCCGAAGTACTCGTGGTTCATGCTGTGCTTGTACAACTCCGGCATGGCCATGAGGACGTGGTCGTCTACATTCTCACCGTCAGCGCTTCATCACCACGCGTGGACCAATGATACTCACCAACTATCCGGTCGAACAAACCGATGCCGATGACCGGTGCGATGGTCCAGAAGGTGTTCCAGAACAGCAGGTATGTGTAGTCGAACACGCTGGTGGCAGAACTCAATCAGCACGCGCCCCAACTGCGGCGGCGAAGGCGGATGGCAGCACTCACTATTGACTGCTCCACGCGCAGTATATCTGGAACCACCACAGTACGCCGATGCAAACCATGTTCTTGTAGAAGAAGTTCACGATCCTGGACAGGTCGTTAGCATCTAGACGCCGCTGCTGGCGAGGAAGATGAACTTACATGTTGCCGTTCCGCGCATATGACCAGTGCCCGTGTACGAGCAAAAGCCGCTTCAGGAACCGGAACTATAAAACAGATATCAGCTTGCGGCACTTTCATGTGAAGTGCGGCGCACGTACCTGGGCAATTGCGTAGTCCGACGAGTTGACAGCCTGAAGACCCTCTTCACCAGAGATGCCGACACCGACGTCCGCCGCCTGGATCATGCTGACGTCGTTGGCGCCGTCACCAATGGCGAGCGTCATCGCACCGACGCCGTCCTTGACGAGCGTCACGACGAGCGCCTTCTGCAGCGGAGAGACACGGCAGCAGATCACGCCCTCACACTGCATCGCGAGCTTCAGCAGCAGGTGCTTGTGCTTCTCGTCCGACAACGCCTATAAACAACGTCAATATCTCTCACACAGATATTTTAGATTCTGCTGTTACGCACGTATGTGAGAGCAGCGCCGTCGATCACGAGCACGAAGCCGCCTGGCCGGTCGCCGTTATTGTGCCCAACGAGCGAGGAGGCACCGGTGTTAACGCGGTGAAGCGGATATCCGCGAGTGGACTGGGATGGTGGCAGGGTGTTCTCGTCCAGACCCACTGCGTCATCCTGGAGGATTCCACTCTCAGGGAAGAACTGTTCGACGGCGTTCAGCATCTGGACATAGACAGGTGTCGAGCCTTCGCCGCCTCCACGGATGATGACAATATTGTCTTCCCGTCCAATGAGGTTCGTGCTGTGGCCAATCGCTGCACGAAAATAGCGTCAGAATCCGAGTATACGTGTGCCGCAGGCAAACGTGCGAGTACGCACCGATAGCGGTCTCGAGCTTGTCGCCGGTCAAAACCCAAATCTTAATGCCGGCTTCCTTCAGGTCCGCAATGGTCTCGGGCACGCCGTCTTGAAGGCGGTCCTCGATCGCGGTGGCGCCAAGAAGCGAGAGGTCGTGTTCGATCTCATCCGAAACAGCCTCGATCTTCTCCTCGCGGTCCTCGAGGGAGACGGTGGCTTCGTGATAGCGCTTCGCCCAAGCCTCGTACTGTGCCTCCGGAACGGCCTTGTACGCCAGGGTAAGCGTCCTGAGGCCTTCGCTCGCAAACTCCATGAGGTGGTCCTCGGTCTCCCGCATAAACGCCTCTTGCCCAGGACGCAGACGCTCCATGATGACGTTGTCCGCGCCCTTGCTGAGGAGATACAGCTGCCCGTCATGTTCGTCGTGGTCGCCGAGCTTGCGGATGATCACGCTCATGCGCTTGCGCGCGCTCGTGAAGTCGAGGATGTTCAGCAGCTCGTACCGCTCGTACTTGTCGTCGTGCGCGAAAGGCGTCTGCAGTGTCAGAACCTCACGGTCGCGTCCACGGAACACGAAGCCGACGTCCGCCGCCGCTTGCACCAGCGCGGCCTCGTCCGGGCTCTGCGCCTTGTACTGGATCGCTCCCGAGTGTGGGTCGACGGAGACGAGCGCAGTGTGGCAGAGCGCGAGGACAGTCCAGAACCCGTTCAGCATGCGTCCGTGCTGGTCCTCGGGAGAGCCGGAGACAGCCTGTCGCGCGGCCGCGATGTCAGCATCGAGACCGCTGTCGGCGAAGTGCGCCAGCACGTGCTCTGCCTTCTTCACAGTTGACGCAGTGAGAGGGTTAGCCACCTCCGTCGAAGACGACGCGGACGACCTCTTAGCGCTAGCCGGCGCAATAGCGTTCACGTCGACCTTGGAATCCGCCGAGTTCTCTTCATCGGCTTCGACGATAGCACCTACCCGGGTGATATCGCTGTGAACTTCGTCGCCCTTGTACACGCGCCCCGCAATGGTGCACTGACGGAATACCATGGCGTTCTGCGTGAGCGTCCCGGTCTTGTCCGAGAAGACATATTCGATCTGTCCCAGGTCGTCGGAGAGATTCCAGCTGCGTGCAAGTGTTGCCTGACCGGTCTTCTCGTAGACAATCTCCTTGTCGAAGTAGATGAACAGCGCCTGACACGTGCGGACGCCTTCGATGGAGATGTAGAGTGAGATGGGAATGATGTTCTGGAAGGTGATGAGGGCGTATATGAACGTGATCAGTCCATTAATCTTCGGGTTGTCATCACTTTGGGTGTCGCCGTATAGCCATGGCGCGCCCAGAGGGTAGTAGTGCTGCTCAAGTAGAGAGTCCGCGACACCACATGCCACACCCATGGCCGCCAACAGCAGCAGGTTGATGAAGCTGTCAAACAATCAGCCGCGCGCTGCCCCGAGGCAGGGAAATGACGTACACCTGAGGGTTCATCTGTCGTTCGACGCGGCTGCGTTTACTCGGTGTAGCGCCAGAGTTCATCACGATCTTCGTGTCCTCGCCCGTGTATAGGACGACCCCGATAACCCACCCCGTATTGCGCAGGACGGTGCCCCGCAGTAGGACCATATTCGAATCTACCGCGGTCTTCTGGCCATCAGAGGTGATGACCGCAGCATTGAGCTTGTACAGGTTCGTGTCGGGGCGGTCGCAGTCGATGCGGAATGCGTTTTGCTTGGCTGCGCAGGCCCGCGCCGTGTTCAGATGGGTCAGCGCCGCACAAGCGCTGCGGCTCTTGAGATTCGTCTCGCCATCGAGGTTCTTCGTCTCCACATACGCGACGTTCTCCTCCTCGGAGGTTGCGCAGATTAGGATATCCGCGGGGAGAGGCTCGTCGTCCATGATCTTGACCATGTCGCCGACTCGCAAGTCCTCCCAGATGGTCATCTTCCAGTGAGGCTTCTTGGACGCACCACGGTGGTGGAACAGCCCGCCGACTTCTTCGACCGGTTCGCCGTCGTCGTGCTCTATACCGAACTCCTCGGTGGCAGCCGTGGGGAGCTGTCTCAGGGGCGCGCCCTCCGTGTGAATGCCTTCCGGCGGCGCGCCGTGCTGCAAGTTCTCGACGTCTCCAGCGGTGGGCTTCCCCTTCCCGGAACGCTTGAACTTGGGCACCATGGCCCGAACGAACGTTTTGGACTTGCCAGCCATAGGGTTCTCGTTGTTGAAGTCTCCGCCGCGTAGAATACGCACCTGCGAGTAGTTCACGGCACGATCGGACTGGTGACGCTTGATGTCCTCGTAGCCATCCTTGAGCGCAGTAATCGTGAGGACGATGATGAGAGGGAGGATGACAAGACCAGGCGATACGGTGGAGAAGATGCTGAAGAACTGCAGGATAGCGATGGCAAGGAAGAATACGTTCGCGACTCGGCGAAACTGCTCAAGAAGGTTGCGGGGTAGGAACGTGATGACTGTGTACTTGGACGTGATGACCTGGTTAGAGGAAAAGACATGGTCCTTCTTGATGCGGTGCTTGTGGTCGTAAAAGTCGGCGGGAAGAGGCTCGTTGACGAAGACGGTGCGAGGGGGCCCGGACTCCTTGCGCTTGGCGAAAAGGGACTCTACGTTGAAGTCAACGAGCTTGTTGTACCACACCGAGAGTTTGGACGGCATTGCCGTAGTGGTGGGCGGGTGAGGGCGGCCTGCTCTTGCCGACGCGCACAGAGCAAGCGAGGGGATGAGGGAGGAGGAAGAGGAGGGGAGACACGGCGGCCCCGGCGGCTGCGAAAGGTACTTCGCGGGCTGACAGGCGCTATAAGCCGCGGTGTGTCATCATCGCCCGCCGTCCGATTCCTACCGGCCGCACCCCGCCCGCTCACAAATACCGGCCTATCCGTCGGACAGCAGAGCTGCGATCCTGACTCCCCATCAACTCTCTACCACCATGTGCATGCCGACCGACGACGACGCCCTGTCCCTCAACCAGCCAAAGCCCGCGTCCAGCGTCATCGGCCGACCCGATTACGTACCGCAAGCGCCTGCGCTTCCTCCGCGTGGCTGCATTCCGAGTTGCCGCCGGTTTCAGGTCGCATTGCGCGTCGTCGGCGAAGATGCAGAATGCTAACGGCGACACAGTGCGGGGGAAGAGCGATCTACCGTCGACGTGTCGGTCGTGGTCGTGGTCGTCGAGGGACAAGTTGCGCAGAGCTCGGCTGGCAGCACCCCGGGGGTATAAAGGACTGTCTACGGCGTTACGCCAACCTAACCGAAGTGGTGCCTTGAATATTCAAACCCAACCGTGATCTGCATCGCTCTCCGACGCGTTCTAGCGGCTCTCGACGACGAGCAGGCTTCAACGTTCGACGACACCCGCCCCCCGCCAGCCACAGGGCGGCGGTACTTCGGCCAGCCACTGCGGCGCGAGATTGCGGTAGCAGTTGATCGGCCGTGAGTATAAGCTCAAGAACGCTTCTCGCTTGAACGTCTTCACACTAGCTCGCATTTTGCGAAGACGAGAAGCAAGCTGATCCATAGCCTGAGGTGCGCACACGTTAATCGTCAAACTCTTATGTTCCCATTGAGCGCTGCCGTACCGTAGCATCGTTGCTCCGAAGATGTTTCGCCCGATATTCGATCGCACGATATCCCGGGCCTCGCGGAGAAAGGCCATAGCCACAGATCATCCGCGCGCTTCGGGCACGGAGGAAATGCACGATGTCATTGCGGTGAAAGTTACCGCAACAGCATCCGTGTCGGGGACACGTTATTCATATGTCTTTGCTGGGAAGCAGGTAGGTCACGCCGAATAACTATGAAACTTGCAAGCGAGGTAGCTTCAGATCAGACAGGTCAGTCTTAGTACGCTCTGTTCGTTGGACTGTTTTATTCTAAGTGAACGCAAACCTACCCTAGCCGCGTTACATAGGTCCTAGACAAAATTGGAGTCTACAAGAGCCCTATGTCTTATACCACACGGATTGAACAGGGTTTTCCCGACGTCTTATACACACCCACCGAGACTAGCAGCGGATCGGGAACGTTTCGCCCTAGGAGTCGAGCAAAATTGCGATTATCCTTGCACAGTTCCGGGCCAAAACAAGTCTCTCGGGACTTATGCATGTGCTTTACGCTTGCGAGGAGCACTGTCCTCAGGGTCTCGAATTCAACCCGCGCCAATTTTGACATTTCGTAACCCATAGTATAAGCCATTTTTCGCATCGTTTGAGGTCCTATGCAAACAGCACGAGCATGTTTTGGTGCGAGTAATGGAGTGAGCCACCGCCACACAGATATGAGAACTTAAGATCGGGCGAGATCTACGGAGAACGTCCGGCTGGATGTGGAAGGTTATGTCAGCAGACAATGTGCCTGGCGTCTGCGGGCGGTTGGGCGGGGAGAGGACATCGCCGGGCGCGACGGTATCATTGCATTTTCTCCTTGGTCGACGACCTCGTCCTGCAGCTCGAGCTCACCTCTCTGCTTCGTCTCAACTGCTTGTCCTTGCGACACAAGAACTGTCGGCACCAAACCTTGTCACTCCTTATCATCACGGTCTTTGGTCCGGCCAATCACTCGAAACACCCCCTCGAGCGCGCTCCCCCCGCACCCGGCTTCGCTCGCACCGCCCTCCGGCATATAACCTGACAGATGTCGGAGACTTCCACCCTGCTCGCGCTGCCGCGCCCGCACGTCGTCGCTTCCTCATCAGACGACTCGTTCACTGCGCTCATGAACGCCGTACTCGACTCTGCGCGCTCCTCGGGCTCGCTCGAGTCCACTGGCAGCCATAACACCGATGGCACCACCCCTTCCACCGCCAGCGACAGCACGACGACCAGTGTGCCATCGCTGGATGCGAGCGGTCACACCGCCAGCTCTAGCTCTCGCTCGAGCACCACCGACGCCAGCGCGAGCGAGAGCGTCGCGTCGAGCACCACACCCAGTCCATGTCCGAGTATCCTCCGCTCGTCCTCGAACCTCACCCTTCCATCACGCACGAGCTCCCCAAGCATCTCCTTCGCACCCCTACCATCGATCGCACCCCGCAAGCGCAACTCACCCCATCCTCTCGGAGTAGCCGCCCGCTCACGTCTCCTCCGGCATCGTCGTATGTTGCGCGAGCACGGTTTGAACCCCGACGAGGTGCCATACCCATACGGCCCAGGCAGCGGCGTCATGGGCGGGCCGGGCGACACCACAACCGGTCTAGGGTGGGGCGAGGAGATCCGGGAGGCGGAGGCGGGTGTGGACGCACATGAGGATGCCAAGGCGGCCAGGGCACAGACACGCACGCGAGCGATGAGCGACCCCTCGGAGGCGGATGCCCTAGTATCGCTGGGGCGGATGGTGAAGGGCGCGGGGAAGACGCTCTGGCGGAGCATCTCCATGAAGGATGTACGGGCGAAGGACGCAGCGAAAACCGACGCGGAGCAACCACCTCCACTACCCGGGGCGCAACCTTCAGCAGAAGAACCACAGGAGCAGCCGCCGGTCAAGACGGCAGTGCACCTCTTCGATGATAACACGCCCCCACCTGCTGTCGAAGGCGGCGTGTGGGAGGAGGTAGTCGAGGAGGAAGGCTGGAAGAAGCTGCTCAGTAACCCGCCATCATCCCCGGAGTCGGCGTCAGCACGGAGCGACACGACCCCCCGCGCGTCCATCGAGCGCAAGAAGAGCTCGGCCGCCGAGAGCAGAAAGAGCTCGGCCGCTGAGAGCAGGAAGAGCTCGTCTATCGAGAGCAAGAAGAGCCCGCCCCTCGAGCGCAAAAGGAGCTCGCCCTCGAAGAAGCCCCCGAAGCGTCACAGCACACTTGATATCATGGGTACCCGTATCCGATAGCATTCCGCCTTCACCTCTCCACCATCCACACTCTCGACATCTGCGGTCGCTGCGAGTAGCGATATCCCCGACGTCTCCTCTCATCTCGCCCCCTCATCCCCTCTTCGATTCGATGATGCCCTCCGCGAAATATACCGTCTAGGGCGCCATACACCACACCCCGTAACGCACACGCCCTGCCCCATACTCTAGCACAACATGACCTTCACGGCCTCACGCTTCACGAAGGATTAGGATACACAGGCTAATATCCATGGTACCGAGCGCGGCGGGTGCCGTGCTCCGAGAGTTACTGCAGGGGCTAATAGAGGCAAGGAGATCGGCTGCGGTCTTGCTAGCATAACACAGTGTAATTTCGAGACAATACCCTTCGTTCGCACGTCCACTCGCTATCAGACACTGTTTCGTTTCCGCTCCGCAGGAGCTGCGGGTTCACAGAAGATCAAGAAGATCGGCGGGGTGCCCCGATGTCATTAAAGGTGAGTACTCGAGTAACCGTAATGTTCGTACAACCGCCGCAGACTTAGCAAGCACCCGCAGCGTTGCTTAGTATGACGCTCCAGCACCACTCAGAATTTGCTTGCAGGGACACTCCCCAAGTCCAACAATCGCCGCCATTCGTACTCTGGAGGCAGCGTTAGAATTCACGGTTCGTGTGCACCTACACAAGCGACGCACCAATCAACTTCTGCCTCAGCGGCGCCCTGTGCGGAGATAGCAGTCAGCCAGGGAACATACGCCAGGACGAGCACAACCACTCACGCTTCGTCCTCAGGAAACTCCTCCAAGATTTCGCGGAGCTCGTGGACATGAGATGGTTGCATGCCATCACGGTTGACCTCGCGCAGCAAGCGGTCGAGGCGTTGTCGGGCGAGCCTAGTGCGCAGTTGTCAGATCGCTACTACCGCATCGAGCGTGCCCCGACGAGACGTACGGTCCGTTCTTGTACTTCTCCATGCGCTCCTCCGCTGCCTCGTAGCGGCGCACAGCATCCTTGAGCTGCTTTTTCTCCTTAATGAGGATGGAGACCACGGCAAGCTGGGAACACGGTCAGTCGTTCACACCCGCCCCGGTGCGTGGTAAAACATGCGATGCACCCGTGTACTCACGTTGTCGCGCGTCCAGGTCCACGTCCAGGGGTCCTCTTCCTGGCCTGCAGGCGTCGGCGTTTGTTGAGCTGAGGGTCCGGCGTCCGCAGTCGACATGCAGGCGAGTTTTCTATAGCACGGCGGGGTTCAGCGCGCGGCTCAAGGCGGTTGCAGCCCGACAGCAGCTCGTGAGGGGCTCATAAAGCCCGCTGTAGCTGCGCCGTGTGGGAAAGGAAGAGCTGTGCTCGCGTCCCGACTCGAGATCTGCGTGCGGGCCGATCACCATCGGTTTGGCGCAGGCGCCCGTGCAGAGGACCCAGGCCAATACACCAAGAGCTCATATGCCGGAATCCCCGAAAATGGGCCCGAAGGGCCCGGAACTCACATGAAATTTAGGTCGATTTCCCCGAAAATGAGGCCGTCAGCGGCCGGAGTTACATCCCTCCCAGCCCCGAAAACAAGCCCTTGCCGGGACAGTCATATGCTGGAACCCCGAAAGTAAGCCTCGGTCGGCTGACCGGACGGCCGGGGCTTTCCCCTGGAGACGAAACATAGCTGAAAAGCGAAGGAATCAGCCCACCGCGCTCTCTTTTCAATGTTTTCTCCTCCAACTCAGTAGGGGCCCGTCGGGCCGGAAAATCCGTTGGGCGCTAAACGGGCGCCTAAACCTATGTTACATGCATTTTACCCCCGAATCCGGCGTAGCCGGTCGCAACTTACGTGAAAATCCCCGAAAAAGAGCGGATTTTCGACCCCCGAAAACGGCCCAAATGGGCCTCCAAACGGATGTGAGCTCTTAGTGTATTGGCCTAGGTCCTCCGTGCAGCGGTGTATCTTCGCCATCACGAGTACGATCTGGCGGGGCTCCGCAACGTTGCTACTCATTCATGGCTCGGCAGTGGAACGCTGCGCCGCTGCGGTAACACCAACGTAAACCACCATCAGGTATACGAGACTCGCATTGCCGGAACGAGCCTATCGAGCGGACTTCTATGTAAGTCGCGTACAGTCGATCTGGACATGTATGAGACGACAGTTTCTTTTTCCAGGAAATATCTCTGCGAACCTGCGTACACAGTGCTTGCGACTCTCCAGAACTGCGCTCCATATACTCAGGGGGTTAGTACTTTGCGACGTTCGCACTTCCGTGGCGGCGGCGGATCGGCGCACCACAAAGTCTATCTCCCAGTGAGCATCTTTCCTGTGTAGATCTTGGCATTTTGATCAACACCCTGCATATATCCAGTGCCGCCGTTGGAGTCCCAAATGAGCTATAGCCCTCAAGGTGGCCGTGTCGTTTTTCGGTGGCCGCGCCACTCGAGAAGTGTCTCACATCCCGTTCTATCATCGGCGAATCCTGATTCCTGTCCCTCGGGCGGAGTATACGCTATCCGCACCGCCCGAGATGATGTCAGGTGAGGTATGCGACCGACCCATGTCGGAAGCCAAGTTGGCGATGTTGGCGATTGGGTAAGAACGCCGACGGTTGAAGACATTGAAGTAAAGTGCGTTCTCCTTCTCTATGCCGGTACGTCATCTCATAGCCGTCGTTAGTGACCCGAGATCGATAGGGTGCTCTATGAGCCGCGGTCGCCAGAGGCGAGATTCGTCGCGCTGCAGCATCTCTCGAGGGCGGTCAATAAAGTCGCTCCGTAGGTGTCGGTGCTTTTGCCCGGGATATCGGACTGTCTGGCATGCTATGAAACAACTCCTTGACCTCCTCGTCACAGGTGGACCCTATGTCGTCGTGCACAGTGCACCCTAGAATGCAGCATCTACCCGGATCGGAGTCGTATATCTCCAACGAAGTTTCAGGGTCGGGATGCTCGGTGTCGTGGACACGCGGCGCCGGACGACCGTAAGAACGATGAGACTCCGGGAGTAACGAGGTCCAGTGGTGCGCAACATTGCTGACGGCGTCCGCATGCTTCTAGGCTATTTGAGCGCACTCTTGCTGATGCGATTCAATAGCCTCTCAGTCAGCGCGTTGAATATGTGGACGTGCGTAGGCATGAGAATCCGCAAGCCTGGATTCTCCTGAAGTTGCCAGTGGGTACCGTTACTCAGCCATTCGGACCCTCCGAGCTGACTCTGAGTTCAACGTAATAGTGCTTTTATCCCCTTGCCGCAAAACAGCTGGATAGTAGCGGCGGCTCATACGGGTTCCAGTTGACCCACTGCCTCATAACGTCAGTACACTCTCCCAGGGACTGGCAAGGTACTGTATAGTGATAGCGGGGGGTGGGCCATGACTCTTCCAGAGTAAAAAGTGTTGGCGCTGACCTAGGTGGCTGTGTTATGGTTCGCGCTCATCCGAACGAATTGCAAGTCCGCAGATGGCGAAGTCTTCCTTTCACTCCCCATGTCCTTGGAAACCATTTAGGCACACGGCCCTTGATTCTATACATCCGCAGCGCGCGGTAACTGGAATCCACCTGTTCAATCTCGACGGAGACTCTCGCCACAGTCTGAACTTTAACCCTCTTTTTGAGCCTCCGAGTTCCCCCAGCACAAGTCACTTCGATGGATAGTGGACCTGTCGAAGAATCGGCAAGCCCACTGATGAACAGGTCGCCGCTCAACCCCGTTGCATCTCTCAGATGCGTTGGTATCACGACAAAGGAGATGCCGGTAGACGGGGTGGCGCATGGTGATTCTAGTCTGCTCCGCCAACAGGTACGTGAAGCACTCTTAGTGGTCTATAAGGCCTTCATTGCGGTTTTTGAGGCAGCTCCCTCAAACCCTTGTATCATGGCGCATACCCCCAGTTGATGAAGGAGAGAACCACGAGACTGCCCGAGAAGCCGTCTGGAAACCGCTGTATCCCTTCTTCAAGCAACGGGGATATACGTTCTGGAAATACTACGCCGGGAGCATGCTCTACCCCGACGTCGAGGAAAGCGCAGATGACTTGCCCCCATCTCCGTACGGGTTCGCATATGCTACACGACACGGCGGTCTCAATCCCGACTTCGGCTCGCTCGATCAATTGACCGAGTTCATGTACATGGTGAGTCTCCCGAGCAAAGCGTACCCACGTCTGGGTCACTGAAGCATACGTAGAACCCGCTATGCCGAGCGGCGCGTACCGCCGACGGCCGGGACGTGGTCGTTCGTGTGCTTGCCATAGGAGAGCATGGTCAAGATCACGTTGATATCCTTCGCCTAGTATCGCAGGGACCGCACGCATTCTACGAAGACAACCACGCGATCCCGCTGGTCGACTTTTTCAGCTTTGAAGACGTCACGTTCGGCGTCTAGCTTCGATGCGCTGGAGTACCTCTCCCGCGCGATTGCTGAAGTGCCTCCGAAAGCGCTCCTGATTCCACCGAAAACAGATGCCCTGTCGTCGTAATTTTACTTTCAAACTGACGTTCAAATTCTTTCCTGACAGGAATGAGTAAGTCGAAAGCATCGTGCTCAACTGCCGGAACTTATCACTATAGCCGGTGCCTCATACGACGACGTGCTGGCTGTATGCCTTCCACTGAATCAGAACTCTCCAACCCTTGTTTCGTTTCACGAAATAATCTATTCACTGGCGAAGATCACATGGGATGGCCAAGTAACACCCGCAGCAAACGCCTCAACAGGCGTCTCCGAGCCCATGATTCCTCCTGGGCGTGTTCTGGTGCAGTCAGCTGGGGCTGCGACCTTTCGGTTAAACGGCGTTACTCACCTTCTACTACGTGGTGTGATCTTTTGTTTTTCGGCGTAGGATGCCTATGCACAGTATGATGCCCGGACACGGGGGCACGCTGTTGGGGTGCATGACTCGAATTTGTAGCCCCCTCCGAGTCTCTGACAGGCTGGAGGACACGTCAGCACCTTACACCAATGGCATAGGAACATAGAGACACTGCTCACGGGTTCGAAAGTCTTGTCACCGCCGTCGTTGCTGGACCGACCGCCAGAAGCGATGTCAATCGACCTCGATAGTATAGGCTTTGAGTCAGCCCGAGGTATGTGTCTCGGTTTTTGAGGAGAACAGCTAGGCCCGGAGATTGCGCCCATTGATGGTCAGTTACGGTCGAGTCGAGTGCGATGTAGGACTGATGCACTCACTCCTCCTCTTAAGAGCTTCAAGCTCGCACCGACTCAGCCTTCGCGTGCTAGTACGGGTTGGTAGGAGGATCGAGAGTGCTGCTTTGTCCGGATATCCTTGTGACGAGGACGTGCTAGTCGGTGTGTTATACCTGTGCTCAGCGAGGACAGCTTCGGAAGAGACCGGCCGCATGGGCATATGAAAGAACTTGCTGGTGGCGCTTGTCGCAGTCACATCAGCGTTCGCATTGATGTCGTAGACGGCGTGTGAATGGAAGCGGCAGATGTCCGGCCCTCCCGTAAGCTGAAGGTCGAGGACAGGGATATCTGGATACCTGCTGGAAGGCCTCACCTAGGAGTTGCCGCGTGCATCGTGGTCTATGCGTGGGATATATACTGTCATGCCTCTGCCTCGAGGCAAAACGGTCGTCGTCATCCCATGCGAGCAGTCTGCACCCAATTAAGGACGATGCGAGATTCCCCGGTGGCGTAAATCGTCGAAAGCGAGGCATACGTGCATGCATGCATGCATGGTGTTGATGAGTGCTTTATGAATGGAAGTGATACCCGTGGATTCGTGATCGTACCAGTACTGGTGAGGGACTAGAACACTCAGTGACGTGTCAGCGACTACTACGTACGGCATCGGGCTATAAATGCTTTCCAGCGGCAGCGTTTTGATTAGCTACGCAGCCTAGCCTGAACTTTATGGATTAGCAACATCTATGTGTGAGACCCGCTCGAAAGCGTACGCTTACCAGTGCGCACGTCAGGATAGAAGCGTCTTCCGGATAGTGACCGGCAGGAAGTCTTGGAAGATAGGGAGGTCGTACGACTCGAGTTGTATATGGCAGCTGTAAGAAACGCACTGTCTGATGGCTCAACAAGCGTGGGTAACGATTCCGCCACAAAAAAAACCGGGTTTTGATGACTGGTAGTTTGAGAGAGTTGAACGTTGAACAGTTTCGCAGTGTGGGTCCGTATGGGTCCCGGCATTGCATGTCCGCGTGGAGCCAAACATCCCTGATCAGGACCAGATATCCAGGTACTTCCAGGTACCTCGATTCTAACGCCCAGCTAATTAGACGGGATATCTGGGGCCGATCATGAAAGAGTGAACTAAACTGCAAGGGCGCTTATGCCAAAGCGTGCAGGCCCCAGACTTTCGCTCCCGGTTATGCGTGCAAACCAACTTGAACGGAATGGACTCAAGTTCCGTCAATGCAGCCGGCTCGTTGCCCTGACGGTGGTCGCGAGAAAAAAGCATATGGCAAGGTAAAACATACTAGCCTACATCATCAAATAGCGGAAAGCATGGAGAATAACTTAGATAGCGTAAGTCGTTAAGGACGTTATCAGGCATCGCCCACCCTACCGCGAGTCGTCCTGTACCTGATGCACTTCATGTCGAACTCGAAAGCCCACGACACAACGAGCTCGTCGCGGCCAGTGAAGACGACGCGTACAGGGATATCCTCCGACAGACTACGTAATGTCAGTGTTGCATATATGCAGTGGTTCCGAAGCGGAAGACTCACATGATACCGTGCTGCGCAGTGGTGCCTTTCCCCGCGAATGCCCTGCCCTTTGGCTCCGTGTCGGACAGCGGGAACTGCAGATTGGCGGCCCAGCTGCACGCGCCTCGTGGTACGTTCACGTCACCGGTGAGTTTCCACGCACGGAGCATGCCCTCCCCGGCGTGGTGTTCTAGGTAGAGACATTCCGTTCCGTTCGTGCCGTAATCACCCAACCAGACGCCTACGACGGAGTCCGGAGTCCATTGAGGGGAAGCAGGATGGTGGCCGGCCTGCGCGGGAAAGCATACAGGATAGTAGCGCGGGACGATGTCCTTATAGCCCGTGCCGTAGCCACACGTGGGATTGTGCAGGTCGGGCAGACGCACGTCGGAGTCCTGGCCATAGGGTGGTGGAAAGAATGCGACAGAGGCTGGCTTCTCTACACCGGGAACATAGTGCAAGGTCCGGCGATAGTACCATGTGTCCTTGCTCTCTATGATCGCGGGCGGGCCCTCCTGCGAGAAAGGCGGCAGACCTCTATCAGAGTCATACCACGGCGACGACGAGACGATGTCCGGGGTGCCAATCAGATGATCCGGGCGAGTGCTGGAGGCGATTGTCATATTCGATGGCGCGATGACATGGAACGAGGGCGTCGCGAGCCGCCCATCGCCGTCCATGCGCACCCACGGCGGCGGGATGCCATTATGGACGAGGAAGCCGAGATTGCGCTCGGAACGGATGTGCCAGCTGACCTGCACATCGTTTGCAGTCTTGGGTGTAGACTTCTTCCAGGGCACAAACCCGATTTGCATGAACTCGATGTACTTCGGGTACTCTGGGCGCTGGCCAGCCGCGTCCTGATCAGCATGCGTGAACTCCCAGACCTCGCCGACGATGATCGGTTCGCCGCGGCGCAGCCAGCGGTCGGGGACGATACGGAATTGAACGATATTTCCTCGGAAGGGGTAGTCACTGCACCAGAGGCCGAGGAGGGCGCCATACCGATGGAGGAGGCGGCCGTAGATGATCCGGAAGGAGCGCTTGCGGAACAAGTCCGTGTCGGTGATGCCATATGGCGCGCAGAAGTGATACCAGGTAGAGTCGTCGTCAATTAGGGGGTAGTAAAGCTTGCGAGACGTGCACAAAAACTGCAGCACATGGACGGCGGAGAGTCCGGTGAAGATCTCTCGGAGGACGTCGTATGGAAGGTCCAGCACCGAGGGCATGACTTGACCGGTCGCGGACTACTCCTATCTGCCATCGGACACAGCGGGTTATGAAGAGGTGACCCCGTAAATGCGACCTAGACTAGTGCTCACCTTGCATCCAAGTCAATCTAAGGCTTCCGCGCCCTATCCTCACGGATCAAGTTCGATTCTGCATATCATGAAAAGATGAGCGGCATACCCTGGATGTGCGAGTTAAGGGGAGTATAGATGTGGCAGAGTACGCGCTCAGCACAGCAAAGTAGAGCTCGAGGACATCGACAAGCAAGCGAGATGCGAGGGTATCGTGGTGGTCCGAGTAAGAGCAGGATGCCGTCTCCCGCGCGAGCAGCTTCTCCAAATCTCCGAATTTGGCAGGAGGTTCCACGTGCCCGAGTGCAAAGACAGCTCGTCACTTTAAAAGCACAGGCTCATTATAGTTGTTTATAGTCACCACATTAATTCGCAGAATTCGATAGCTCAGTTGGAACAGCGCAGGACTGTAATTGACTCCATGGTTCGATCGCGGCTCGAACTTGATCGTCGTCGCGCGGCCTGGTTTTTAAACTTCTACAACATTTGTCACGACGTCCCCACCTGGAGATGTTACATGATTGGCGATACGCTCAATGCTGCAAAGTGAGTATGTAAAAGTAAGTTCTGGCATCGTTCAATTTTTTTGAGCGGATGGTGGACGAAGATTGAGGAAGACAGGATGCTGGAGGAGGGAAATGCCCTAATCGGGTGGGTCCATGTGGCTGTGCCATGTCCGCTCGGCTCGCTCCGCCCCCGCCCCCGCTCTCAACCTCCACGTCCACTGCCATCCATCTGCGAACACGCGTTACTACTATCCGAGGTTGGTCTTGTTCCGAGTAATAGTCGAACAAACTACCATGATCAGCCTTCTCCAGACTCAGCCCGTGTCCTCGTATGGCAGCCCGCAGCGGTGTCGGTCGAATAGCCCGTCTTACCCTTTTTTCAGGCCCACAGTGCTCTCTGTGCGATGTACGTGCCTTTCTTCCCTCTCTTTGCGCCACATGGCTCACAATTGCGACGGACTTATAGACAGCGAAGGCGGAGCTTGCCAAAGTCAGGCAGAACCGCCCGTTCGAGCTCCAGACGATCAACATACAGGACCCGGGCCAGGAACGCTGGAAGCGCAAGTATGTCTACTGGATCCCGGCGCTGCACATCGAGGGCCGGGAGGTGGCGAAGGGGCGCTGGGACGCGCAGACGGTGAACCAGGCGCTGGATACGTGGGAGAGTTCGCCGTGGACGAAGGCGGACTAGTCGGCCTCGCGGAGTACATCGAGGATGGCCCGCTCAGCTCGCCCCCGTGGTATCTTCGCCACCACGAAGAGGTTCTGGGCGACGTTGCTGAAGAGGAGGATGGGCTTTCATCGTACGTCCAACGCTGCTTCAACTGTGGAACGCCAGGCCACATCGTCTCCGCCTGTCCCCAGCGCATCGATCACGACGTCGTCGCGCTCTCAAGACAAAAGTACAACTTCTTCCACAAGTCTGGCCCCGGACGAAATATGCGAGTTCACGAAGTCGTCGAGTGGCGCAACCAAAGGCTTCAATGGCTCGACGAATTCGAACCCGGCGAGATCAAGGGTCCTCTCCTCCGGGACGCTCTGGGACTGCGCGACGGCGATCCCGGAGAACGTGTCCCTTGGCTGTCAAAGATATCCTGCTGGGGCTACCCTCCTGGCTGGATCAGCCCACACGATCCCCGCAAACGCGTCTGGGAATTTCTAACAGACGCTGACGGCGAAGCTGACGAAGAGTGCGACTTCATGATCGTCTCAGATGGAGAAGAGCTGCTGAAGCTCCATTCAGCGGATGCAGTATACGATGTCAAGGAAAGCTCGGTCGACGATGACGCACAGACCGAAACCCCAAAGCGCTGGGCAACGTATCCAAACACGTACTTCTTGTGGTCTAAGCTACCGGTGTGCCCAGGGCTCCAACCTCAGGCGGGCGTGAATGGTCGCTCTTCTCCCCCTGACGGCTCGACGTTCTCAGTTGAACGCCAGGCTCTCTGGGAAAGCATCGTTGCTGGTGTCGCGCCTCCGCTTGGTCATGCCAACCATCCGCCGCCGGAGCCCGCCGCATCACCTCCACCTGCGCCTCCTCCCCCGAGCTCAAGTCCGCCGCCTCTGCCTCCAACCACATACGCTCCTCCACCTCCGCCGTCTACGCCGTTTCTTCATAGTCAGGTCAGCCACATGCCCACGACCGACCCATCAGATTGCGACCAGGAGAGCGAAGAGGATATGGATCTCTCGGACTGACTGTACACGGTACACCTTATATCTGTTCACAGCGAGGCATCTCGCCCGCATCCTCATATTACCCAACACTAGTCTACATGTAAGATACAGTCCGTTCTACAGGCGATAGAGTTATAACGATACAGTGGTGTGGGAGACAAGGATCAGCGAGAGTCAGACATGCGATGTCCGGTGGTCGTGAGTCATCGTGTCCGCCGCGAGGCCGTTGCTTAGATGGCCGTAGCGCTGGACTTGAACGTGGGCTCTGGCGTGCCAGCACGAGAGCTATCGGAACGAGGCGGGGGCGGCGCGTAGCGCGGCAGGCTCTCGAGGGGCTTCGAGATCAAGAAACCTGCGACAACTGTTAGCAAACGCAAGTCGGGCACCATCGAAGAACACGCGCGACGCACCTTTGAGACCTGCAGCCTTCTCACCCTGGCGACCGAAGCCATGCCCCTTCTGGCCAAACTCCTCCGGCTGCGCCCTGTCATTGCCGCCCTTGAACATACTGTTCACGAACGACGCGGACGCGGGGCGCGCGAACGTCGGGCGCATGTCGCGGTGGCTCGGGAGCACGCCCTTCGCCTCCGCGCGCCAGGACATGATCGAGCGCTTCTCCTTGGCCTTCTCGCGGAAGACGAGGCCGAGGAGCATGTTGAGGCAGCCGAGCGCGAAGAGGAAGAAGGCGGCGACGAGCGTGAAGTCGTCGACGTGGTGCGAGAGCACGGTCGCGCCGATGAGGCACTGGAAGATGCCGAGCGCGCCGAGGCCGAACGTGGGCCCGAGCACGGGGAAGAAGCGGTCGAAGAAGGCGGCGGGCCAGCCGATCTCGGAGAGGATGAGCACGACGACTTGGAAGATGATGAACAACCGGTTGACGACCGCCCAGAAGACGCCCGCGGGTTGGTTGGGGACCGTGCTCCCTCTGCAGACAGTTAGAAAGGAGAACGGTACGGATACGAGAGAGGCACGTACTCGATGTAGTCGCAGTCCGTCATATCGGTGTCCGGCGCTTTCATGGAGCGGTTGACCGCTTGGATGTCGCTGACGAGCACAAAGATGCCGCTTGCAAAGACGAGCAGCATCGCAATGATACTGAGGATGCGGACGCCGTTAAGGCCGATGAAGAAGTCTGGAGGATACGCATGAGCATCGAGCCTGAAAAGCGCGTTCGACGAAGGATTACTCACATGCACGAGGGGGAAGCATTGTGGCGATGTTATGAGGGGGATTAAAGTGAGAGCTCGTCAAGGTGTTGAAGCAGACTTGAGAGTCGTTTCGGAAAGCAGAGAGCGATGAGGCCTGGAGAGCGTGAAGTAGTGTCAAGAGACTCTAGCAAGGGGTGTCCCAGCACCGGAGAGTGGAAGTCGTAAGGAGAGAGCAAAAAGCAGAGGAAAACCTATCCGGGAGGTTGCCCCCTTCAAAACTCCCGCCACATCCTTTATACAGAGTATAAACGCGCCGCGCCTCATTGTCCGAGCTGTTATTGTTCGCTGTCCCGCCCAAGCGAAGGACAATAGGCGTTGTCGCTAAACCACAACGACTGCCTATTGTGGCTGTGTTACGTAATTCGGCCGTTGCCCTCCTGGGCGCTTGCTCTCCTGACTCCTGGCGTGTCGTTTTATTCGTGCCGCGGCCAAAGACAAGGGGACTATATAGATTGTATAGCAACAGGGGATACAGCATGTGGATATAACCTACGACAGCAACGATAATACATAATCAACAACATGATAACGTCGTAATTAGGGTACAAAGAAATGACCTAGCGTGCTATGAAGCATTCCCAAAGGTATCGGAGTCCGCCCAGGCTCCCGGAGAGTAATGAGGGTGAATCAAGGTCCAAACTATTACACAGAATATGCGGGAGGTGCTTCGCTCTCCGGTGCCCTAGCGGGAGCAGCGCGCCCGGCATCTTGGTGCACGAATGGCCCGCGCGAGGGATCGGGTTGCGACACCAACGCAGCCTGCGGCGGAGGAAGAGGACCAGGGACCGATGCAAGCCCAGCAGGTGTGGGCGGTCGACGAGGCACGTACATGCTCGAGCCCGATGGCTCCGAGCGTTCCGTGACCGTAGTGAGCCCTCTGTCCGGGTGGAGGTAGATCTGGCTCTTCTCCGAGGGCGACGGGAGCCCCACCGGCTGTGGCTGAACAGGGGCATAGTTGTTAACGACCTGCAGTGGACGATGCTGATCGTAGCCGCCGGCGCCAGTAGTGGTGAGAGTGGACACCGACGCGTTTGCAGCTGGGAGGCCGGAGTACGACTGCGCGCTCGGGTGCGTACTGTAGGCGGAAGGGGTGCTGAGGCTGGTCTGCGACGGAACAGGGCGTGGAGAAGGTGGAAGTCCCTTCCCGGGCACCGAGTAGAACTGAGCGGGTCGAGGCGGCGGAGGAGGTCCACGGTAGGGGACGGGCGGCGGGCCCTCGGTACTGGGTGTCTGAGGGCCAGAGCTCGGTCCTGCACTGAGCGCGCCGTACGTGTAGGGACGCGGGTCTGCATCGACGTCAACTCCCTGCTTCTCTCCTCCGTTTTTACGTAGGACGTGCTTGGAATGGTCATCATTGACGGCTTCGTGGAGGAAGAGCTCGTCATCGAAGTCGTAGCGGCGCTTCTTGCGGCTGAGAACGCGACGATCAGCTCTTCACATCGATGTAAGAGATATGAGACAAACGTACAATAGTAGCCACGCGAAGAGGGCGAGGATGATGGCTCCTACAACGCCCCCAACGGCGCCTCCGACGATGGCGCTGGTATCCGAGGACCCGGACGAAGACGACGTGCCAGTAGGTACCAGCACACTAGTTTGGGTCTCAAGAACGGTGCTGAACGCAGTCGAGGTTCCGGAGGTGAAGATGACAGTGCCATCAGAGGTGAATGAGGATTGGAACGTGACCGTCGTTTCAACCGCAGTAGTGAGAACCACTGTGGTGGTTGACGTGGGGGCGGAGGATGTATCAGTGGGTGAAGAGCTGTCGCTGGTACAGGAGGTCGTGAAAAGCGTTGCAGTAGCCGAACTGGACGTGATCGGGACGGTGATAAACACGGGGACTTGGATTGTCGTTGTTCCGCCCGCTGTCAACTGGCGTCAGTAGGCGTACGGCAAACAAGAGATACTGTTGCGCACCTATAGTACTGACCGAGTCCACCGTACTACACGAGCTCGCGGACAAGGTGCCATTCGACGTGGGGACACAGCTGACCGACTGGATTGTGGTCACTGTAGGGTCCAGCGTCGACACACTGTCACTGAACGATGTCGAGATGCTGTCTGTCGTAAAAGTCGTAAATCGGGTGGCCGTGGGCGAGGTGACGCATGACATGGTCGTTGGAACCTAGCCAGATGCTGGGCAGAGGCTAGTGAGCGTCGGGTGGTGGGGTCGCCAGAGGGGCAGTTCAGACCACGACATTGTCCAGCGACTAGTCATATAAAACGGGGACACAGGGGCGTGGCCGACGCGGTCAATACGCCCGAGGCCACGCGCAGGACAGGCGGATGCCTGTTAATGGACGGGGCGAGCCGGGGCTGGCTGCAGAAAGAATCCCCATTCAGACACCGCTGAGCTAAAGACTCCCAAGGATAGCATAGTCGAATCATCGTAGACATTCGGTCGGCGGTCATCTGCGTATGTGAATAAAGCTGAGCGGGAACAGAGAGGAGAGTCGCGCCGATCGAGGTCGCTCCGGGGCCAGACTGCCGCTAGATAGGCGTTGAAGATCTGCCTCGTTCAGGGGACGGCGTCCAAGTACATATGACAGCTGCTGCGGTTCATTTGCACAGTGCATGGTTAGTTTCCCTGTGCCTAGTATAGTTCCTTGGGCCAGTTAGACAGCGAGTCGCAGGTACATCGGTGAAGAGTGGTGATCGTCGGAGGCAGAATAGCGTAAGTAGAGTAGCGCACCTTCAGGAGTTATATCTAATAGTGCCAGATTAGGTCTATATGTGTGTTTAGCAGTATGATTAGGATGGTCACTTGGCGTAGCGGTTATCATTGCAGCTTTCCGAGTTACTGCCCCGCAGATCGAACCCTGCGTTGCGTTATATTTTGCGATTTTTACTTGCGGGACGTACGCCAATTTGAGACTGGACTATTCGTACGATGTTCTGTGAGTGCGTCGGGGCCTACACTTTTAGCTACTTTCACTCACCGACTGGTCGCGATACCACACAGGAGACGGTGGAGAGTGCTGCAGTGCCGATGGATATAGTAGCAGGTCGGACGAGCGCGCGTAGTGCGAGATGACGGGAGTGACGTCAGGGAGGGTGGCTCGTACGGAGGAGCGGTTTGGGACGGTTGAGTACATATACCCCCTCAGCACGTCACCTCGCAGCCCTATATTTCCCATCTGCACCCTGTCTCCTCTCTTACACTCTCACCATGTTCACCTCAGCCCTCCCCGCCCTCCGCCGCGCGCCCTTCGTCTTTGGACGCGGCCTCTCTACCTCTTCGGCCATTTCGCCTTTTGCGCGCACGTCGTTCCTTCGCTCCGCATCTCTTACACATAACACGAACTCCATCCTCCGCAACCACCTCATCATTCGCGGTGTCGCGAACAGCGTTTCCGGTCGCCCAGGTTCGCAAACTGCGGGCCACGCTGCTCAGAACATCCGCGAAGAGGTTGGCCAATCTGCTGCCGACCTTGCTAAATCAATCGCCGGCGGAAACGTTTTCCAGGACGGTGTCGAACCAACCCAGCAAACCTTCGTATGTGGTTGTGTACCTGTGCAGGCGGGAAAGCTTGGTTGACGTCTAATCCAGCTCGGTGTCACCAACGCGGTTGCACATGCTGTGCCCCAACCATACGTGATCTTTGGCCTCGCGGGCGGTCTGCCTTACCTCGGTGCATCCGGCGCGACTGTGTACCTCGCCCACCAAGCAGGTCTTGCTGCTCAGGGTAAGCTCGCAGTTCCAGAAAGCATACATCTGGACTGACTTGCATTATGACGATAGGATTGGTGCCTAACATCGACCCTGGCGTGGCGATCACTATCCTTGACCAAGCATTGCAACTTCAAGTGACGTACGGTGCAGTAATGTTGTCCTTCCTTGGTGCCCTTCACTGGGGCTTTGAGTTCGCCGGCTACGGCGGGCAGAAGTTGTGAGTGCCTGCAATGCGCATACACGCACTCTTTTAACCACTGGTACCAGCTACCCTCGCTTGCTCCTTGGAGCAGCACCCGTCGTGTTTGGCTGGTCGACGCTGGCCTTGGACCCGACAATGGCACTCATTGCTCAGTGGTTTGGCTTCACCGGCTTATGGTGGGCTGATCTGAGGGCGACGGGCGCAGGATGGGGTGAGTACTCTGCAACAACACTCCCGTCCGACTAACCCTGACGGCGACCGTACGCAGCACCGCTATGGTACTCTCAGTACCGCTTCTACCTGTCCATTCTGGTCGGTACCTGCATCATCGGCTCATTGGCCGCTACAAGCTACTGGGGCCCCGTGGGTGGCCACGGAGTGGTGTCCCACGATCTCAACATGGTAATTAACTTTAGTCCAGTTATCCACGAACATATTACATACTTACCTGGCGTTTGAAGATCCGGGCTGAGCGCAAGCAACACCAGCCAGAGAAAGAAGGCCGGGTCTCGGGAGAAATCGAGGCGCTTCCCGCTCCTGATGATGCCGACAAGTATGTTATCATCAAGAAGAAGGATGAAGGCAAAGACAAAGATGAGGAGAAGCAGGACAAGGGCAAGCAGGACGAGAAGAAGCAGTAAATGTTTCTCTCACCGAAAATCCTCGCTGCCGGCATGACAGAACGACATGGACGTTCACTGTAAACCATACTATATGATATCAGCATCCACTGGCAGCGCCCAATACGTCATCGAATGTACGATAACGATAGGTAGCATACCGTCCACTTTGTAGTTGTACATAGGAAATGTAATGCACCTAATCAGGAACGAAATGAAGTGAAGTGAAGCAAGAATACGAGTTCGTAGGACCGGCGAATGTGGCTGAATGTGGTCGAGTTCCATGCTGACGGAGACTCGCCGACGATGCTCGAAAGTTCTGGAGATCGGCGGCGCGATCTCCTCGAGCGTCATGCAAGCAATAAATCCACCATCTCTTCCTCCCCCGCGGCCTCCTGTTGCATCCTCTCATCTTCTGTGCTCTCGTTATCTCTTTTCACGTCTGTCTGTCTTCCGTGTACTCCTGTAAACAGTGAAAAGCGATGGCTTCCGCGATCCCTGCGCCCTTGGCTCCTAGCACCGCGAACTGGCACTGGAAGAACAAGACCGTCACGCCCTGGGCGAAGCAGTGGTTCGAGCGCGAGCTTACGTCCGTGCGCGTGAGCGGCGAAGGTACCGAGGAGGTCGGCGTCGAGCATGTTGAGGAGGTCGAAGGGGACGTCGAGCTCGGCCAGCGGAAGAGCAAGTGCGTCATATACCTTTCTTTGCGTAAACCTTCCGCAGCGTTGCGTGTGCCTTCGCGTCCAGGGCCCCCAGGTTTGGGTATATGGGGTTGGCAGATGCAAGCTGCATGCACGCGGCGGAAGGAGTGTAATGCATAGTGTGGCGTAGTGTACTGACATCGGGGTGTATGCGTTTGTAGGTTGATCACGATTTACGACTGCAAGGTCGTCTTGAACTGGTCGGGAACTGCGTCGGACGGTACCGCAGTCTCTGGAAAGCTCACCGTTCCCGAGGTGTCGCACGAGATCACGCTCGACGGCACGTCAGACTTCGTCGTACGTCCCACCTCTACCTGCTTCCTCCGCCACGCATCGCTGAACTGCGGTCATCGCGTGTAGTACGAATGGAGCTTGACCACGGCCCGCACCCCCGCGGTCGACGCGCTCTTCCAGCTCGCGAAGAAGCAACTCCCCGCCGCGCTCGAGGCGAAGTTCAACGCGTTCCCCGCGGCGATCGTTGACACGCACGGCAAGGACCTGACCGTCTCCGCCGACCCGTCCCGCCAGGGCAGCCCCGCGCCCGCCGCGTCCGCCCCCGCCCCAGCAGCAAAGAGCGACGCGGCGCTGAAGAAGAAGGCGGACGGCGCGGGCGTTGCGAAGAGCGGGGGGCAGGCGGTGAACACGACGACGCTGTCGGTCGACGCGCAGTTCATGGCGTCCGCGGACGACTTGTTTGGGCTGCTGTCGGACGAGAAGCGGATACCGCAGTGGACGCGTGCGCCGGCGACGGTATGTGGCGTGCTTTCGCGTGATGAATTTGTGCTTATATGGATTTGGGGTGTTTGTAGGGCTCTCCGCAGGCTGGGTCTGAGTACAGCATGTTTGGTGGCGGTGTGAAGGGCAAGTTCGTGTCGCTGTCGCCACCAAAGGAGTTCGTACAGACGTGGGCGCTCTCGAGCCCGACATGGCCTTCAGGTAAGTGTTCTTTCATACTCACTTTGGCGTTGCACATGCTCACGAATGATACAGATCATTTCGCCACCCTCACGACTACGCTGGACCAGGGCAGCGACTCTACGAAGGTGACATGGTCCCTCAAAGGCGTTCCTCTCGGAATGGAGGAGGAGATCACCCGCAACCTGCAAGGATACTAGTGCGTATACTTGTCCCACCTTGCACCATACAACGCTGACTATGTTTCTCAACCAATAGTGTGCACGGCCTGAAGTCCATTGGGTATGTACAAGTCTCCACTTATGTGCCGCCCCCGCAAAAGAAGCGCATCTATGTCGATTCAGAGCCCCGCGCTGCCGCTGCGACCGGGTTCGGCACGAGCACCTGCGCGGCCCTCGGGTTCGCGGTGCTCGTGTTCGGCGCGGCGTTTGCGCTCCCGTACCTGTACGGCAGACCCTGAACGCGCTGTCTGGGGGCTCTGCTGGGGCGGGGAAGACGACCTTGTCTTCCCCTTGGTATTATTTGTGATACTGTATGATCGTATAATTGACATCTGGATTTCTGTGTGCGCACAGGTTGGGCACGGTGCTGTGAAGTCCCTGACTGGAGGCCTGCCAGCGGGAACGCGCAATGGATACACGCAAGGACGGGCCCGTCGGTGGGTGATGGGATCCGGGTGTCGGGGGTCGTGGGGATCGGGCGCGAGAACTTTGGCGATGTGGGCGCTGTGTTCGTTGTTGGGCATCCGGTGCCGTCGGACCTCGGGTGTCGTACATCGGTCTGTTGTCGTGCACTGGGTAGCATGCTTGGTGTGTAGAGAAGTCCTATTCCTAGAAATCCAATGTACTCTGTTTTGCTACGTCTTACTTTGGTGTGCCGCCATTAGTGTGTGCTCAATATCTACTAGCTCATAAAGGTACACACGAATTTGAACCTTTACGTTGGACGCGATGACGGGACACGCGAGGTAAAGCGGTTGCTATTAGCGACACGCCCCCGTGACTTACGCGACGGCGCTAAAGGCTAAACCTTACGTTTGACCTCAACGTCGGGCTTGGCCTCCTCCGCACCGCGTTTCACCCCTTCCACATCGGCCACGGCCTCTTCGACGTCGCCCCCCACGACGCTCAGCTTGGTTCACTTCTCCCTACGGCTCTCTTGGTCGCCGATACATGCTGTAAGTCCCTGGCTCACGGCGACAGAGGTAGTATGAATGACGTGCTGACCCGTTCACCTGTTTGCAGAGTTTTGGGATTTGGGAGCTTTGAGAGGGTTGGTTCACGACGTTCCATGTTTCAATGACTATCGAAGACCCTCCATGGAAGAAAAGGAGTGAGTAAAGTCTGTCATCGTTATGTTCGTCCTTCATTCGCCCTTCCGAACCCCTTCCGGAGTGGTTGTATGCACCACGTCTGCTGCTGGAACCAGCGTCTGGTAGAATTGTCTGGACAGATGTCCCATGTAATGCGCAACTGCCTCGCTGTTGTGTTCAGCCACCCGATGCAGTCAAGTACCCCTGCGCGGTGTTTACGTTCTTTCGCTCCCGTATCACCTTGTTCTCCCCGATCGGAGCGCGCTGACCGTGACCGCCTGCACAGCACGTCCTTGTCCCTTTTATTCGCAGGGCCGCTGCCTCTTTTCAGATTCATGCAACTTCATGCACAGCGTGACGATTCGGCGCCCGGACAGCGTTGTGGGTTCGGAGGACTCGGACCAGCCAGACTTTAGGATCGTGGTCGACTCCCCCATGGCATCGCGGGCAAGCCGGATCAAGTCGCCGCCTCGGTCGCCGCGCACAAACAGCCTGTTGATGGCGCTGGGAGACATCATTCAGCAAGACGAAGAAGACGGTGAATGGGAAGAGGAAGAATCTGCGGAGCAGGAGTCTTGCTCGGGCGATGGGGGCTCGGAGGGCCGCATGAGTGGAGAATACGCGAAGCCGCCTTCACTCCCTGCGGATATTAACGACGAAGACGCTAGGGGCTCCCTTCTGTTTTCTGCCGGCGATGTGGATACACCAGCACGACCGGTACCTATTCTCGGGATCAGCGGCGATGCCATGGCATTGCTTGCCGAAGTGCCCTCTCCTGAGGACGAGCGGCCACCGCACTCGCTGGGGTCCTTCCTGCTAGATGACACAACTCTAGCGGAGGATACAACACTGGCTGGGGATACAACATTGACTGACGCACTCTCTCCGCAGTCGGCGAGTCCCGTCGGTGAGACCTCAATCATTGAAGAGGACGAAACCACAGTTCGCCTTCGGAGGTCTATCATTCCGGAATTCCCACTGCCACCGTCCCGCATTTCTTTTGCCCGCCGAGACTCATCGTCTTCGGGCCTGTTGTCTCCTATTGAGTTCACCCCTGCCCCTCCCATCTCCCTTCCTCGGAGCACGATGGTTTCGCGGGAGGAATCGTTTGACTCTGGATACGCGGATGGGCCTGCACCGCTAGCCTTGTCGCCCCCGCGCAGTCCACACAGGATGTCAACCTTCTCGCTGCTCTCTTCGCCGTTTGGTTCGCCTTCCGCTCGGGTGTTACGCTTTGACCCAACCGCTTCCTCTGCAGCGGCTCTGTTCTCCCCTCGGTTTGGCGCCTTCCCCAGCACCGTGGATGAAGAACAGGAGCCAAACGACCGTGGATCGGGTGTCTTCAGGCGGGGTCGCGGAGACAGTATCGATACTTTGGACTCGATTCACGGAATGGGTCCCACGATTGGCGCAGAGGTCGAGCGTTCGGTCACTGATGACTTCTCGGCAGAGATTGAAGCGCACTCGTCGCCTTCGCCCTCTCGCACTCGACACTCGTCTATCCCGGAGGGTTCCTCGTTGTTCCGTGCCGTTCACTCTCCTGTGTACCCTACTGTCGATGAGGACTCGCTGCAGCCTGGGGAGCCTTCTTTTGGCGAGGATGACACCATGAGTTCGCTTTACGACCAGTACTACACTCCCACAATCCACACACAATTAATTCAACCTCCCGTGACTCAAGAGGCGTCTCCTAAACTGGTTGCGGACTCGGAGCTCGCGTCGATCGAGCCAACGCCGGTAGCTGGTCCCTCCTCGGCTCCTCTTCAACCATCCTCTCCTCGTCGTCCTCGTCCTTCACCTCCTCGTCCTGCATCAGTTCTTTCCTCAACGTCCCATCATTCGCCCCCTCGTCCTTCGTCGTCGGCTCCTCGCCTATCATTGCGTCGCTCGCCCCGACGTATTCCAGTCTTTTCCCCACCTTCGAGCTCTGGTAGTGCGATTGGCATCGCCATGCTTGAGCAGATGCCTTCTCCTGCTCTATCCTTTGGACAACCCGCACCGACACACGATGAGATCGCACATACACCTGCGGAGGGATCAACACGTTCAGGTTCTTCGATGAGCTCTCGTGCGGAGGACTCCGTAGGGCAGCTTCCATCCAAGAAAGTCCCGTTCGGGTTCCGACACTCCATGTCTGATCGTTCGCAAGGGTCTGTGCGGAGTTCCTTCAGTGCAGCGCCATCGCGTATCTCGCGAGTGCGCCCGCCGCCTTTACTTAACGTCGGACACGAGCCAGAGAAGCCTAAGGCCGTTACTATTTCGCCCTTTTCTCCCGTTGAACCGCCTAGTGCGACAAGTTCCGCTGGGCCCGGACGTTTGAAGCCTCTTCGATTGGTAAGTAATTCTCTGAGCTGCGGAGGAAGACCGACACTGATGTATTTCCTTAGTCTATGATTCTCAGTTCCTCCTCTCCTCTTGATTCATCTATACCGTCAGCAAATGCTCCCTCACTTACCACAGCTACTACCGCCACGACCAGTAAGTGCTGTCAAGGAGATCGCTTTCCTTACATACTAACCACATCCAGCACATACACCGTCCTCGCCAACTGTATCATCAGAGTATTCATTATCTAATAATAGACTGGTAAGCTTCAACGCTTTGCTTCTTCGTCCACAACTGCTCAACAAAAATTTCGCAGCTATCCTCTCCGCGCTCAAGCATCATACCTCATCGCACTCACAATACCCATGGATCAATCTCTCGCTTCGACTCTCCTTTGCAAATCCCTCCTGTTATCTCGCATTCGCAGCCCGCCTCCGCCCCAGTCTCCCGCCCGCAATCCTGGCAGCAACGCTTCTCCAAGCGCAGATCACTCCTCATCCAACCAACCAACCGCCTGTCCTACGTCTCCGAACAATACGCACGCTCCGAAAGCCGGCTCTCCGAGCCCATCGACGAGAGCCGCGAGGACGAAGACGAGGACGAGTTCACCGCATACGCAACGGCGGACCAGGCCGACGAGACCATCCGCCGCCCAGTCTCCTCGCTCTCCGCCACACAGCCGCGGCCCGAATCGGTGCTCATGACCCCAGTGCACGCGATCGCGACGCCGCGCCCGACGCTGCTCTTCGCGCTCGCGAGCGACGACCTCGCGGAGGTGCGGCGCGTGCTCGAGAGCGGGGAGGCGCGCCCGAACGACGACGTGGGCCCGCAGTCCGCGCTCGCGTTCACGCTTGCGAACGGGCAGCTGAAGAATAAGGTGGCGATGGTGAAGCTGCTGCTCGCGTATGGGGCCGATGCGTCTGCGCTCCGGGATGTGGAGGCAGACGAGGGCGACGGGCGGGCGGGGAAGAGGGGGTCTCGGCCGATGTCTAAGTTGCTGGAGGAGGCGGACCCCGCGACTCGGTGCGTTGTGCTCCGGTGTATTTGGGCAGACTGGTTGCTCACCTTTTGCTGCTGGCAGGTACTATATCGAGCGGGCCAACTCGCCGCAGACTCGCCGTACCTCTGCCCTCATACACCGCTCCTTCTTCCGTCCGTTGACGCGGGTCCGGTACGACCTCGTCGGGCAGGACAGAGTCATCGAGCAGCTGTTCCGTGTGCTCAGTATGCCTTCCATGGCTCCCATCGTCGTCCTGTTGTGCGGTGAGTGACATGCTTGAAGGGCACTATGCGCGGTAGACTGAATGATACGTGACAGGACCGAGCGGGCACGGGAAGAGTCTCCTGGCGCGGAAATGTGAGCATATAAGTTTTTTGAGTCTCCAAAATATGTGAAACTGATAGCTGTCGGATCCAGTCGGAGCGCTCCTCGACGTACCTACGCATACCGTCAATATGACAACTCTGCAGGACACCCGCGACATTTGGAAAAGCCACTCGATTGATCCCCACGAGGTCTGTCCTGTCCGCTAATGCGAACGCAACAACATACTCATGCGTCGGTACCGTCCAGGAGCCTTCCGACCGTTCTCTCAAAGATTTCTTGATGGAGAACGAGGGGAAGCGTTGTGTCGTTGTCCTCGATGTTCGTGCCTGCTCGCGTATGATTGATGACCAGGGGCTAAACTCGGGTCTTCTTCCAGGAAATCGAGAAAGTGCAGGACGAGAAGATCCTCTCCTCCCTACTCATGCCATGGGAGTACGGTAAGCAGCTGCAGTCGTCCGGGTCGGAAGCGAGAGGAGGCCGTGTACTGACGCACCCGCCCCCTCCGCAGGCCGCTGCTCTTTTGAAGCAGGCCATCGGCACGTTGATGTATCAAAGGTGATCTGGCTCGGCACCTCAAACATCGGTCACGATCTCGTATTCGAGCATCAGGACAGCCGGCCCGCGCCCCAGACACAGCTCTCCAGGGAGGAGTACATCGACCTTATGGCGCTCCTGCGGCCGCGCGTGTCGGACCGACTCGGGGTGAGTGCGCCGCTGCCGCCACATATTATGGAACGCCACTGATGTTTTGCGGCTCAGGCGTCCCTGCTCTCGCGCGTCACAGTCGTGCTGCCGTTTGTCGCGTTCACCGCCGAGGAGAAGCTGGCGATTGCGGCCGAGGCGCTGTACGCGCTCGCGGGGGAGGGCGCGGCGACGATGCCGCCAGCCACGCGCGAGAAGATTGTGCGCTCGTCGATGAACTCGTACATCCCATCCGAGGGCGCGCGATCGCTGTACCGTGCGGTGTCATCGCAGTTGCTGGACACGATCTAACAGCCCTCGAGGGCCGCCGCAGTGGGGGCCCAGCCTCGAACTCAAAGACGTCACGCATCAGCCCACGGTTCAATCGAGGATCTTGCGGAGAAGGCTTCGCAGACGATGGGACCTGGGGGGCAGGTCGCCGGAGGCGCGCAAGAACATCGGCGAGCAGGATCATAGGATGGCGCCGACGGCGCCAGTGACGGCGTGGGAGGACGACCCCGGAGAGTGCGTCGCCCGCTATTCCGCCGCGCTACCGCCTGTAACTATCTGCAGCGGGTGGTCGTGATGGAGACGGGCTTGCTGCAGTGCACAGAGCTGTATACTGTCGTTTTTGCAGATAATTCATCAGGGTTTCAGGTGCAGACCGTGATGCGCTCGCAGTGGCCGGGGGGCCGACGCACGGCACTCGCTCGCGGGGTGAAACCTGGATGTACTGCTCGGTATGCGGATGAGGATGTTTGCTGTCAGCGTCGGGGAGATGGGCGACGCTGATGGCGTGTTGGACAGCCCCGAACAAAGGCTGATGGGCTCGCGCTCACATATAGCCCTGCGGCCCTAGGACGGCTCCATTTGCCTTTCTCCTTCGCCCGTTTCGCTTTCTCTCTTTCGTCCCTTCGTTCCTTCTCTGTTCTGTATTAATGGCCATTATCGACTTCAAGCACCCCCACGCCAGCGCACACCAGCGCAGACACGTCCCAGACGTCGTCGCACGCAATATCGCCCCCAGAGAGACCACGACCACGGCGGACAATGGACACCAGATCGTGAATCCGCTGCCTACGTCTGTCAAGGTCCTCACCGCGTTCTTCGTGATCCTCGGCGTGTTCATTCTGGGTGAGTGCGAGCGCGGGATCTCTCCACTCGGAGCGGCGGCAGGAGCTGACACGAACATGGCGCGCGCGCATCAGGCATCGTGACATGGCGGATTGTTGTATGGAGGCGCCGCAGACTGCGCGCGGCGTCGCAGAAGTACACCGGCACGAGCAGCTACAGCTACGCCTCGAGCGAGAAGATGAGGCCGATCGGAGAGGGCACGCCGATGGAGAAGGGCGAGGTGCTCGTCATCCTCCCCGCTGAGCCGCCCGCGAGCGTCCGGCGCGACGAGGGCAAGTGGGTCCCGCAGATCACCGCGTACTCCGCAGCCCCCAAGGATAACAGTGTCGTGCTCGACCTGAAGGCGCCACTGCCCAACGACGTGCGCTCCCCGCCCCCGACGTACACCGCGTCAAGCACAGCATCGAGCACTCCCTCGAGCACTCCTTCGTCCTCGCCCCGCCCACCGCACTTGAATCTGCCCACGGTCATGGTCACGCACGATGACTCGAACCTATCAGTCCCTGCGGCCCCCTCGCCTGTGCCCAGCCCGCGGCGCGCGTCCTCCTTCGGAGTAAACGCGCCCATGGGCAACGACCAGCAGGCGAACCTGCGGTCGAAGCCGTCCGTAAAGGGCCAGAAGCTCCCACGCGGCATGCTCGTCGAGCACACGTTCGTCCCGTCCCTGGCAGACGAACTCGCGATCAAGGTCGGCGAGACGCTCCGCATGCTCGAGGAGTACGAGGACGAGTGGTGTCTCGTCGAGCGCCTCGGCAGCCGGAGCAACGAGCGTGGCGTCGTCCCGCGGTTCTGCCTCAAGGAGCGCCCCCGCGGCCAACACAAACGCGGCGCGTCCTCCACAGGTACCGCAGCGTCCGGCCGGAGCGGCAAGTCGCAGTAGATTTGCCCATACCCATGCCCCGGACGTTCACGAACCCAGTCACGACATTGCACGGACGACTCTGTGCACATCGCCCCGCCCCTTGACTTTCACCACCCCTTTACCCCCACCCCACCCGACATCCCCGCACCACCCTTATGTCAGCGCGCGAAAGCGCCGCATGAGACCTCACCACAGTCATTCTTTTACTTTGCTGGGTATTTATTGCTTTTTACTTTCTATCCCTCCGGGTACGTCCGTTCCCCTAAACATAGCCCCCCGTCCCGCGCTGACCACCGACCTTCCCCGTATCAGACCGCTCCAAAACCCAATGGGCTCTTCGGCTACTATTTATCAATCTGCCACTCCCAGGTCACCAGGAACCGCGCATTGCACCCGATGCGACGCAGGCGCGTGCACGGCTGGCTTCGCAATACGTTTCCCGTCCTGCTAGTCAGATTCCGGCGCCCCGCTCCGCTGCTCTTCCTCCTTTGCCACCGCGGACTCACAGTTGTAGTTAGTACCCGACGACCCCTCGATACCTAGTATAGTAATGCGCTCCGTGTGTCTGACAATGTCATGGCGGATCGACGGGACGAAGTCGATGTCTCGAAACAGTTCACTCCGTCCGAATGTCCCGTCCGACCGTCATAGCTGAGGAGAGTACGATGTCAACATCGAATTAGCTTTCTATGGAGCAGCGTGTACAGACACATGCTAATTAAGTACGTTTACAATCCGTGTCCGCGGTTTCCTATTACTATGCAATATGTATATGTGCAGCGAGAGCCGAGAGAGGTCAACGAGTGAAGATGCCGGCATATCTGCGGCTAAAAACGTGAAGGAGAGACGGTACGCCTAGCATGAAGAACGCGAGGATCGGGATGTACGTGAACAGCGAGTGGAAAGCGAACGTTTTCTGTGCCTTCTTCCGAGGGGGAGCCGGGACCGAATCCCGGGATGGGGCTGCCGCTGCGACTTCGGGCACCTAGACGAAGAACGCCGGCGTGAGCATCGCGTCGTTGTAAGGACACCGGCTGTCGTGCGGCGTGCACTCACCTGCACCTGCGCATGCACCTGGGCGCGATCGCCGCGGCGCGGGAGAAGCTTCACGATGCGGTGCTGCTTGACGTCCGCGCCCGCGTCCCCGAAGTAGCGCTTCGTCATGAAGCTCCAGTGCAGCGAGCCGACGAGCCAGTCCTGCAGGCCCTGGACGTACATCGCGACGTCGCGGTCTAGCTCGGGCCCGAACGAGGGCAGCGAGCGCTGGTTTTCGACGAACACGTCGATGGTCTGCTTGCAGAGGTCGCCAACGAAGTCGACGGCGCTCTGCAGGTCGAGCCCACGGAGGTTCATGAGGATGGCGATCATCTGGAGGATTGTTCATGAGCAAAGAGCAGAGGAATGCAGCAGTCCCACGTACGTTGTGCGTGTCGCCGCGAGACTGCTCGACGTTGTACGAGAAGATGTCCTAGAGAGACCAATGACGTTAATGCCGGCCCCGCCGTGCACAAAATTCATGTAGCTTACATTGCTCCACTACGACAGAAAGCTAATGTCAGCGCGATCCGAAGACACGGCAATAGACCTATGCTTACCGTGACAAGATCGTTCGCGCCCTGGTTCAGCGCCTTGATGACCGGGTGTTCCACGACAAAGTCGGGCAGGTCGATGTCCATGGCATACTCGATCAAGTCGAACACCGGCTTGCAGCCGCTAGTGTCCCGACGAACCTACAAAATGCATCCAGTCAGCGGGCAGGGATCTGGCGCCACAGATGGGGCGGATCGTGCTCACGCTTATGTACGACTCGAGGTCTGGGATGATACCAGCGTCGCGGTCCATCGCCTGCTGATGCACGGCCTCGAAGAAGAGCTCGAGTGTCTCCTTGAACCGTGCTTGTGGACCCGGCTTCGCGTCGCGTATGCAGCGCGTCCAGTAGCTGCGCCCCCAAATGCCAAATGTCAGCGGTTTGTCACACAAGCATCAGGCGTGCAAGCGGCGACGTACTCGCGGGCCATCGTGCCGGCACTCGCTTCCGCCGCCGGCTGGCGCGCGGTGGGCACGTAGCGGTCGGGGAGCCAGAGCGCGTTCATGACGACGTCGGACAGCGCCTCCGTCCCGCTGCGCATCATGCCGTCCGAGATGTTGTCGAGGTGGAAGAGGTAGTTCATGAAGTCGCTCACGACCCGCAGCCGCGGCGCGGAGCAGTGCGGGTAGCAGTACGCGGTGAGCTCGCCCGCCTGCAGCCCGTAGAGCGCGGTGCGCGCCTTGGGCGAGAGCTCCGGGCAGCCCTCGTCGAGCCACCGGACGGACTCGGCGGCTACGGCGTCGCCGTCGGGGTGGTAGGTGAGCGGGAAGGTGCAGTGGCTGACAAGGTCGGGGAGGATGAATTGGGTGGGCTGGGAACGAGTGGAAGAGCTTGCTTGAAGCATGGCGGTCGGGAATTACAGAAGGTAGCGGAGGAGGCGGAGGGGAGGGGATGCGGAAGAGGGCGAGTCTGGGGATTTGTGGATGCCAAACATGCCTTAAATATGCTGCATCGCATCTGGCGTGGGTCAAAAAATCCGACATGACGGGGCGGACGCATGTCGTACAATGAACGAAATGTGCACATACGGACTTCGTGCGGGTTTACCGAGCCGGCGTACCCGCGAAAGTTGGAGCCGGACATAGCCTTGCACTCGCTGGTGCCCGCCTTCAGACAGGATGCCGAGCTGTCAGCTCTTACGCGCGGACGTGGCGAATTAATCGAGCGCAACTTCTCGAGCACGAGTGATGGCGGGGTCACTCGAGGCCAGCCGTCGTACGCCCGTATGTCGCGCTGAAGCAGTTCATTCCCGCGGAGTTCCGGCCACCGTCCGCCACATACGACCCAGTGCGCGGGGAGTCGCTCTGGGGCGTATGCCACGGCTGCAAGGAGCACAGACCGAGGAAGAGGAAGACACGTACTGGCTTCTGTCAACAACACGTGCGCCTACGGCAGGGGATAATGAAGTTGAACATTCATGTGTAGCGCGCAGGATCTGTCCGAAGAAGCAGAAGCTCTGCGCCCGTTCCAATCTCGATCTTGACACCGCCGTGCGGCGCCCTCCGAGATTGCAGGATGTAAGCAAAGAAACTGCTATACGGGCGAAGGAAATGTCCGAGGGCACAAGGCACTGGTTGTGTACACGGAGCTAGGTTGCCGGACACTGCCCAGGAATGCTACAGCTTGATGAACGAGGTATCGATCCCGTGCGAGAAATCCCAAATACAAATCCTCTGTGCAATGCGAACAGCGTTAGTCAGTTTAAGCGTCGGAGACAGAGGGAACGTTACGCCGTACCTGGTCTTCTCCACATGATACGATCTAGAGAACATCACGGTGAGCACAATGATGGCGGGCTGCAATGACACGGTAACACCCACTTTGGTACAGTCAAAGCCGACGCAGAAGATTCTCCCAGTGTGCCCCCCGGCTAAATCAGCGACCAGCGCGCCAGTCTGGCGGTCCCAGACCTGCTTTAACTTTAGCACACTTCTAGCGGGGTGTATCTCTGTGATATAACGAACCTTGACCGTGAAGTCGTAGCTTCCGCTGACGACACACTCGGAACCCAACGCCACGCTCCGCACGAGATCTTCGTGGGCGCGACGTCGGGGCGGTGGCTGCGAACCCTCGCCAGCGGGTGCATTGCTCCCGCATGCTTCGCAGACGACCCCTCTTCCCAGCTCGGACACCACGGGCGGCTTATTGTCCGCCGAAGGCGAAGTGGACCAGCCCTGAAGGGTCGACACATCGAGGAGCCGGATGTGCTTATCTGAAGAGCCGGACAGCACGAAGGGATGGCTGAAGTCCACGGAAGCAATCCTGCGATGCGCGACAATCAGCGTCAGGCTCGTTCGTATCCCCGGCCCCGAGCGAATGCTTATAGACGTACCCTCGGCGATGGTGGTTCTCCAGGGTGTGCAGCAGCGCGCCTGTCTCGGCGTTCCAGACGCGCAGAGACCGATCTCCCGACACAGAGACGATGTAGTTGCCAGAGATGGCCACGGCGTTCACCGCGGCGCGATGCGCGCCTAGGACGTGTTGCCGTGTTATGTCCGAGACTCCGAACAAGTACGTCCTGACTGTCCTGTCTGATACGCTCGCCATGTCAGTACTGCGCGAGAACCCCCGAAAAACGCGCGATATAGCCACCTTTCGAGCAGGAGACGAGCCTGTGATCGTCGAAGCGTACACACAGCACACTGTCTTCGTGGTCCCTGATGATCTTGAGGGGTACGCTCTTTGCGAGGTCCCAAATGACCACCCGGCGGTCGCTGCTCGCGCTCGCGAGGAGGCCGCGGTGCACACAGATGCTCAGCACACTGCTCTCGTGCACGCCGTCGAGCACGCGGATCACCGCGCCCGTCGCGAGATCCCACTCGCGGATCGTGCGGTCCTTCGAGCCCGTAAACAGCACCTGCGTGCCCGTCTCGGGGTACGTGTACAGCTGCAGACAGTAGATTGTGTTTGAGTGCGAGTTCGGCGCGCCGCGCGTCTGCAGATTCGACAGCGTGTACGATCCCGCCGTGAATCTGTTGCGGAGGCGGACGTGCGTCTGGTGGAGCAGCTTGTAGTTTGGCCGCAGATGTGGCCGGGTGGCGGAAGAAGACAGCGCCGACGGCGCGGAATGGCGTGTCCGGGATGATCGCACCTGGTGGGACGGGCCCGCCACGGGCAGCACGGCGGACGACGGGGAAGGCAGGGGCGCTTCCACATCCATGGACGCGAAGCCCGAATCGTCGGGCTGCATTTCGTCATCGGACGAGTCCTCTTCATCGCCCATGCCCTCGTCGTCCGAGTCGACGTCGTCGGTGGGTGTACGTTCGGGACAGCTGTCAGCGCCCGGCATGGATGTCCTGGGCGGCACCCGCCACTCCCACTTCCGCGCAAGGCAAAGGTTTCTCCAAAGCGACTCGTCGTCTGCCAGGGCGCGCCATCTTCGGCTCACCAGCGCGCACGTCAACAGTGTTTGGGCAGAAAGATACGAGAAGACGTGGAGCGAGACTTCTGGCGGAAGCAGCTGTAGTGGGTTGTATAGCGTAAGCAGACGATCATAACATGTTCAGGTGCGAGCAAGATGTTATGTTCAAAGGTCCGGAAACCTCGGAAGACTTGAGAGCGGCATCCGCGATCTTCAGTGCTAGTCTCGTCCCCAGCCGTTATATCATGGGGTCCACGCTCGGTTCCAAAACGGGACGGTACAGGAAACCGAGCAGAGGACCTCCTATGATATAACGTCTGGCGTCTTTCGTATAGACTGGTGGGGGGCTGTCACCTAAATCACGGTCGGTCTCATCTACTTCACTTGGAAGGGCCCGCGAAGCTCGGCCACTCTCCCACCTCGCAGCGAGTTCTGCCCAGTTTCGCGGGCGATAGAGCCGGTAGGGAGCGTGCGCAACACCAGAATCAATGGAAACGGTAGCTTGAGTGCGCGACACCGCGGATAAATGTTTGGGCGACCGCCCGAGGACTTTGGCGTAGCTTGTCAAGGTACCCACAAATTACCGCGAGCTCATCGGGTATAGGAAGCGGGGAGCAGGCTGCGCGAGGACCCCTCTATACGAAAGTCACCAGACGGGATAATTCTATTTGGAAACCCGGGGTACGCACGACAACCCGGGTTCCAAATGATACACATAGAAACCCCTGCCTAAGGTGTCAAAGGCGGCCGGACAGCAGGTACCCCCGGCCGCGCGGATCCCTTCGTGCAGGCTCACCGCTGCCCTTTGGAGAGCGCGCGCGATGCGCCGTTGGGGGACTCCAGAACATATGGGGCCCACGAAATAATTCCGTGAATAATTGAGAAGCTGTCTAAATGGTTCGCGCGGCGCGCGCGGTCAACACTGGGCCTAGCGCGGCGCGCGAACTATGTCAAAGACGCGGGAACTCGAAGATAGGCCTATTCCCAGCGATATATCTGGAATCATAACGCATTCACCTCCTCCCGGTTGGTTAGATGTGTGCGCACCCATCGTGTCCCAAAGGAGCGGCTCTATAACGTCTGGTGACGAGACTACTTCAGTGCCTCTCCGCGGAGGAGTCGCTCGCTCATCTGGGACGCATGAGCCCGAGGCCGACTCACACAACTATAGCCCTGACCGCACTCCATGAAACGTCGCGAATGACACACATGAACCTATCACACCACACTAGACCGCACTGGACGGAACAACAAACACATCAACCCCAGTGCCCGGTATCTCTGAACATAACAACATAATACCATCGAGCGCACGAGCAAAGGTACTCACCCCCACAATATCAAGCTTCAGGAGCGGCGCGATCCTGGCCTGCAGGACCGCAAGTCTGGACCGAGGCAGCGACGCCAAGAGCGTGTACGCGAGTTCTGTTATACCGCGTTGGCTTTTCAGCTCACCCACACGCATATATGGAAGGACCAGCACGCACCTTCACGGTCTCGCACAGAGCGCACGACCATCATGGTGCTCTGGTAGCTGGTGACCGTGGACCGCCGCCCGGCGTGCGTGCGCTGGGGCCTCTCGCTGAGAGGACTGTTCGGGTCTTCGTCCGTGTAGCCTTCGTCCGAGGGATACATCGCGGGGCCTAGTATGTGCAAATTCCGGGGAGAGTGGGCGTACAGGGAGTGGCTACCAGGCTGGAGACGAGGGGGAGGGGACAAGCAGCGATCAAGCCGCGAGCGCACCTCTGAACGCCCGAACAGGCTCGTCTCCCACGCGCGACGCGCGCCTGCCAAGCGGCCCTCATGCGACATGCTAAGATGCTTTGCACTGGCAACGGAGGCGCAGCTGGCGATGCCGAGAGCACACGAGAGAGTACACCGTCAGGCCACGTAAGTCTGCTATTATAAAGGAGCGTAGAGGCACAGAGGCAAGCTGTAAGATCGAGACAACAGATATAGGAGCGCTATACGGAGTACGGACTATCGGACATCCGGGCGAAGCAACGAGCGTTCGAACGTAGCGACGAGGGCAAGGGAACGGCGACGGCAATGAAAACGGCAAATGGAATCCAACGAAAGGGGTATCAAGACGCTCTCCCAGTCCCACCAGCATGAAGGATACTGGCGTGAGCCGCGGACGGCACACGCCGTTAACCTGGGCGCGTTCACTGCGCCGCCGCGGACGGACGCGAGTTGGTCTGCTCCTTGAGTGCGAGCAGCTGTTTTGAGCGGAAGGCCTCGTAGTGGATCTGCGCAGTCGTCTCGATGAGGTCCTGCAGGTGCGACCTGAACGGTCGTCAGTCAACAGTTCGGTGGCTTTTATTATAGCAACGTACCTGGTCAGGAAGTTCCTCAGGTGAACGAACTCGCAGTGCCTCTCGTCCTCGACGTTCACCACACCCCAGCGGTTCTTGCGTCCGCGAACTTGCTTGCCGTCAATGATCACGGTGCGCTCGGAGCCGACGACCGCGAACGGGATCATGCTCTGCGGGAAACTCATCAATTTCGGGACACAACAAGAGGACGAGTGAGGCTTACCCGGATAGTCTCGTTGAGCTGAACTTCCTCTTCGTCGTTCTCCTCCGTGTCGAAGGGGTACAGACGAATGTTGTTGAAGACGAGCTCCTCCCGAATCTGTAGAACAAGAAATTAAGGGATTGTGTTGTGTTTGGCGTAGGCTCACGCACCCTCGTCTTGAACGCCTCGCGCTCCTCCAGGGTCAAGCTGTCGGCCTTGGCAATGACGGGGACAACGTTGACGACCTCGCTCAGCTTCTTCATGACAATGATGTCAATGGGGCGCAGAGAGTGGCCCGTGGGGTCGATGAAGAAGAGGCAGCAGTGGATGCGCGTGTCCTGGATGTGGCGGTCACGCTGCGCGGTGAGCTCCTTGCGGAGGTACGCGCTGTGCTGGTCCTTGATGTACTTGACGATGGGGTCCCAGCTAGACGGGCGAAAATTCGCGTCAATACGAGATTGATTCACGCGGTCCTCGCAACGCACCAGTTTTCGTTGTTGACCTGGTCGCCGTAGCCCGGGGTATCAACTATGTTCAAACGGAGCCTCACACCGTTCTCGACAATGACTGAAATAGTTCAGTACAGTACATATAATGAGGGCGAAGCACTTAGACTCACCATGAGAGACCGGGTGGATCTCAGTCGTCTGTCTGACAGGCTCATCCGGCTCCAGGCGGCCCTTGGAGTCAATCAAGTGCGACGCGAAGATGGTGTTAATCAACGTCGACTTTCCAAGACCAGTCTGGCCTACAGACACATATGACGCGTCAACGAACACGTCCAAAACCTGTATATGAATAGCTACTGCGTACCAGCGACAATGACGTTGAACTGGAAGCCGCGCTTCAAGAGCTTGTGCTCAATCTGCTGCGTGATGGTGTCGAAACCGACGTAGGAGTTGGCACGGATCTCTTCAGCGGGTGTAGCGGCCATGGCGGAGGAACGGGAGGAGGATGAGGGAGGTCTGGGGTCGAGGATGGAGGAGGACGACGAAGAGGGCGACAACGCAGAGACTCAAGCGCGCGTCGTTGCCGGGAACATCTAATTTTCCATGGAAGCCTGATTAGTATGCTCCTAAGCGGGCTTTAGCTTGGAAGTGATCCCGCTTCTATTCCAATTCAAGAGCCGATAAGCCGTCTAACGCGCGCCCTATCCGGCCACAGTCGGGGCTCGTTCTCACTGTGGCGGTCGCCTTGAGCCTTCCCCGCACATTTCCGCGCGACCCTATCAGCAACCGCGCAGGTTGCGACATACACCCGAGATCAGGTCATGGCATTTTGGCGACAGTGGGATAGACCCCTGTCTGTGTCCAGAATGACTCGCACGCTTCAGATAAACGACCACCATCGTCGGGGGAGGACACAGGACAGCACCTCCCTGCTTGCATCCGGTGAGTACGCCCTGCTAAACTATCTTCACCGGGGTACGGACTAGTCTCCCAGAGGCAGACCTATCACGCTCTGCTGGAAGGCGGGGAGGGCGAGCGTGTAAAGGGCACGGACCTACTTAGCGAGATGTCACACCGAAATCACATCGTAGCCAAAGTGCGATTGTGCTTTCGATGTCTCAACTTGCGCTACTGTAGGTGCACTCTGATTGCACGGTGCATACAAAGTGCGATCAGCGTGTACAGGGACATTCATATCGATAGACCGTCGCGAATTTCTTGCGCTCATAGAGCGCGGAGCACCGACACGCCCTATACTAAACGCGGCAGCTTCACTCCTGCGCTGGCGGCGGGCCTCTTGCACGAGCCTCACCACGACTCGGTGCAGGTATGGTCACCCGAACGCTCCAGGCTCCTTTACGCAGCAGGCTATGTGCAGACGACCATTGTGAGTGGTAATTCATCTCAACTGAGGGCCATGGAACCGTATGGAGGTTGTCATACGCCCGAACCTGCGAAACTGGCAGTGGCAGAACGCTGGGGAGATGGAGGGGTGGCGTGGTACGCGATGGATGAACCTTCCGTATCTGGAGGTATCGTTCCACGAATCCTTGAGCAGAGCACAATGGCAGTTGTCTGTCGCTATGAATGCCGTTGTAACGCGATTTTATCGTTACATTTTGCAAAATGTGATCAGCGTGAGGCAGTCAGATATGTATAGGCGTACCACATTTGGCCAGATGTTTTCATGCTATGAAGGCTATATGCTGATATCAGCTCGCTCACCCGCGAATACAGAGGAACCATAACACGAGGGACCATGGTGCGAAAGCTGCCGCAAGAGCTAGTCGACCAAGCCATTGACCATCTCTGGAACGACCGCGATTCCCTGTCGGCGTGCAGCCTCGCTTGCCAGGCCTGGCTCCCCTCAGCGCGCACACACCTCTTCCGGGACCAACGCTTAACTGGAGCGAAGGACTGCGCCCGCTTCGAGGCGCTCCTGGAGAGCGCGCCCGCCATCGCCCACTACGTCCAGAAGCTCTCCATCAGCGAGCCCATGAGCACCGCGTACGCGCAGAACTGGGTCAACCGCGTCCCCGCCCTGGTCGCACA